CGGTACTTCAAATGTTGTATGATGACGAATATATGTTATCCGAACTTCGAGCTTTCCCGGCAATACCATGTTCATGACGTCTCTAAAGTAGGAATACTGAACTCCCCCTGTTGTAGCCAGAGAGAATATAACCACAATATAGTTGTTGTCTTCTATTATGGTGTGAAGCAACTGGTCGGCACTCAGCCAATTGCCTAGACAATGAACTAAGTTTTCCTTGATATCTAAATGATCTTTGGACCATTACCCGGACTCAACCACATGTCATTTGGCTTCAAGGGATCAGCGGGCTCAACCAATCTCCCAACTAATTCTGCTACAAGTTTTTGTTGTATATAGATATTATATTATTTACATTTGATAATATTGAAGCTTATATTATACATGGATTATGTATGACCTACGTTTTTAGAATTGTTGAATTTGTAGTACTATTTGGTTTTCGAAATTCATTCCAACTACGATATTCACATCTTTTTTATGAGCATCTTGTCATAAAATTTTACTTTACGTGCACATTCTAACTACCTGTAACATTCGAAATATGTTATGTCAATAACTGTAAATATTTCACTTTTTTTGAACGGTTGCTGGTCGTTTCATTAATACGAAACGCGGTGTACAGAGTTACAATAACGTTGAAAGCAAGGAATACCAACTAAAAGAAAGAGACCTAAGAGTGGGCAGACAAAGGCCCGAAGTAAAAAGCCCAACCCTGATCCAAACACTTTGGACAACCCACCCTAGGTAACCCTAACCCAGCGGCCCAATCAACAAGAAGCTGGCCGCCAACTGCATTCCCCACCTTCGATCCAGCGCCGTCTTCAACCACTCTGCCCACACATGTCTTTCGCCGGGGAGACAACGGAGGAAGCAGAGACACATCTCTAACCACTAGCGGCTCCACTTGAAGGACGATGCTCCCGCAAAAAGCAGAAAGCAATATAATCACCGGGGAGAACCGTACCCAGAACCGGATCCGAGCTCCACCTAAAAAACCAAGCAAACCCGAGAAGCAATCCCGACCATAGACAGATGAGAGGCGACTGATTCACCTCCGATCAGAGAAAATCGGCCGAGCACCAACTCCGAAGAAGATTTCCCTGCCCGCAAGCTTCCTGAAATGACATCCAAGACAACAAATGGTCCATGCATCTCCTATTCATCCCCATTTATGGATGAATCTTGTGGAGGGAGATGACAGACCAGGAAGGAGCAGGCGAACCTACAAATCAGCCCCCTAAACCACCTACCAAGGGAGCATCCACACAGATCTGAAAACCAGTCAGGTGGGGTCAAAAGCGTCTCACAAGGAGACCGGAAAAACATCACTACAAGGGTGGAAGAGGCGACGAAAGAGAGGAAAAAACCACAAGGCAAGGAAGGAAAATGACCAAGAGCATCAGCAATGAAGGAAAACAACAACCAACGGCAGAAAGGGAAACGATACAGAAAACGCAGCAGGGGAAAAGATCAGTAGAAAGAAAAGAGAAAAAAAGAGGAAAGGGTCGCCCCCGGTCGCCGAAAACGGCGCCGGTGACAGCCCTCGAGATCCTTGAAAGAAGAAGCTCTAGAGTCTAGAGAGGAGGCAAAGTAAATTTAAAAAGGAGATAAATATTTCACTTATGTTGCATGAATATTATCGGTGAGATCAATAAGATATTGTAAAAAAATATCTAAAAAATATCAATGTTTATCATATTAGATTAATTTCAAAACAAAATTTTTGTCCAGAATTTTTATCCGAAAACAAATTTACTAACTGAAAATAAAAAGTTATCCTACAAATGTTATGTAATATATAACATTATAAATGGATTATCTAAACTTACAAAATGAGAGTTACTTCTTATATACTAATGTAATCAAATATATTTACATAATGACTTGATGCCTAACATAAGTGCATAACTTAGTGGTATCCAAGCTATAAGACGTGCATAATATCCAAGGGACAACTGTGTACATTTTCCCCATTGTTTTCTTTCTACTCATACCACTATGGAATGCGGTTGCCAAACACCCAATAAAAAAGTCTAATTTTTAAATTTCTTATAACAAAGGGCAAGGTTATGCTTCACACGGTATACAAAATCCGATCAGAGGAAGAAGCATCGACTGCCATCCCGCCTCTAGCAGGAGCTCGAAATCTTGTCAGAGGAAGAAGCATTGACTGTCTTTCCGCCTTTTTGACTCATTGGAGGAGCAGGGATGTGGATGGCCGATTGTTCTGCTGGCAGTGTTCGGGAAGAGTAGATTGGGGAAGAGGCAAGAAGGTGAAGGATAAGATTGAAAGATTGAAAAAAAAGAAAGAAATCAGAGATTTTAAAATAGCTGGGGGTAATCAGATAATTTGAAATCCCTAATGAGCAGAATTTCAAAATCTCTCACAGTTAAAATCGCTTAATGATTGGAGCCTGTCCAAACACAGAAATTTGATGAACTCCTGGAAGGACATGCATTGTGCAGAATCCTTACCTAAATCTCTTAATCCAAACGCTCCTATAGGGTTTTGGGTGTTTTCTTATATATGTACTTGATTGTTCAAGTTTAATGAGAAGAGAAGAAGTAGTTTTAATAGGATTTTTGTGCGATTTTAGGAGTAGCAGTAAAGTAGAATAGTGCTCTATCGATGCATTGAATCGTTAATGCATCATAGTTATATCCATGTTATCCTAGGAACTAGATTATCTTAAATGGTTGACTCTTGCCTTAAGGGAATCAGACTTCACAACCAGTTCTCCAGAAGTATATTCAATGACTTTCAAGCCTTCTCCACCAAAAGCAATTGCTACTTCTTTGAGTAAACACCCACCTACAAGAGGGAATTTCAAGGACATGTCATTGTGCCAAGCATAAGTGGCAAGAAAGCACAATGTACAATTGTCCAACCACATTATTAGACCATATAGACTTCAAATTTGAAAAATTAATTACCAGAAACAATATGACTACTAAGTCACATCATCGAGGTTCGTATCATCATCATGTGCCATATCATCTCGTCCTCATCGGCCATATCAACCTCGTCGTCTTCATCGGCCTGTTGTTCGACTCCTTGCATAAGCTCTATGGTTCTATCAACCAGCTGGCGAACTCCTTAATGCAAATTTACATAGCAAACGACCCCTTACGTCACATCGTACTTATTAGTGAATCATGTTTTATGGAGCCCTTCTGCTATACTTTAAAGTATTTATGTTTCATGATATAAATTACACTTGTACCCTAACATTAAACGTACAAGTTCAGTATGTACCATAAAAAATTATAATAAATATATAAGTACAGAGTACAATTTCCATTTGTATTATAAATTCAAAAACTAATTTTTTTTCATGTTTTAGAACATTATAAAATTCCTCTGATTTATGACTTTATTTTTACAAGGGATCACTTATATTGCATATCCCAACAAAAAAAGTGTTGAGATCACCACCTTAGATCTAGGTTTGATGTATAGTTTTCTTTTACCATAACAGGAAACCGACAACTCTGTTTGCTTTCTTTTTTCATAACATTGCTTGGTTTATATTAGTATGATGATAATTCTTATCAAAACATGATTTGACAGTAACTTACTATTTTGTTATGTTATAACTGTATCGATATTATTTGGAGTTTTGAATTCATATAAACAATTGGTTATGGTAACACATAAATGATTCATATAATTACTACTAACTTTTATACTAATGATGCAATTCATCCGGCCAACGGGCGGGCCCAACTCCAATAGCTTGAACGACCGATTTGAGAAGAATCTCTTTCCCTCCTGGAGAACTATGATTCATCGTTAGTACAATACGGTACGGGAAAGTTACGTAAAAAATACGTACGGGTATTATACTTCGTCTCTAAGCTAAAGTTACGTTTAATTTTACGTTAATAGTCATAAATATATAAAATTGAATTTTAAAAATAAATAAATATATAAATAATAGTAAAGTTAACAATTTAATTCGTAAATTACGGATAATAAACGTGTTATACGGGTTTTATACGTGTTTAGTACGGGAGCCATCAAATGAACGAGAAAAAATGAAACGGCTTGACAATAATACGGATACAAAAGTTTTGAACGGATAAAGTACGTACGGATACATATATATGCATTAAACGGAGTATTTTACTTAATAGCAAAGACATAAACTCATAATGGGCTACAAAGATAATAAGAAAATGTTATCTTTGGTGTAGTTTTTCTCCAAATAACCCTGATTTTAAAATTTGCAAATTACGGATGCAGCACGATTTGCTTTGCGTTTAGCATCTAGAAAACTACCAGGTTAGTTTCTTATGTTTTTGTTAGAGAATATATGAAAAAAGAAAGAAAAAAACCTCATCTCTCTTACTCTCACCCTCGCTCTCTCAATATCTCTACCTCAAAGAACTAGCTTTTACTCGGCCCTTTGCCGAATGAGTTTTGCTTTATTTTTTACATTGGTTAATAATTATATTTAAAATTTACTCAATCCGTTGGTCGGATGCATTTTATTTTATTTTATGTTAATCAATTTTTTCATGTTTTTAAATATTTTAAGATTTTTTAAAATAGTTAATTCATTATTTCTAAGTAATCTTTATGGCATTTGTTGATTATGACATTAGCGATAATTAGTTAATATGTATTTTTTTTTATCAAATCGTCTTAGTTTACTCTTGTGTATTTTTTTCATATCTTAGAAGAAATTTGTGGACTTTTTATTATCGGATATGAATTTGGAGTTGGAAGAAAATATATATCATCTAGAATTGGTAAGAAGTGAAGGCATATAGAAAAATCAAGAGAATAACGAAAAGATTATGCCTAGAAATCTCAAATACAAAAGAAGATGAAAAAGTAATGATTATTGTATAAATTAGTATAATTCAGTGTATAGGCTTGTTTGAATAATAGGGTGGGGTGGGGGAGGGGGTTGTTAAGTGTTAGTCACTAATGCAAGTACAAAAGTTAAGAAAATCCAAACATTATAAAATCTTAAATTCTACTCTACCAATACGATCTTCGACTTTTCATGTGGAGTTAATAGCATAAATTCACTATATTACCATTTTTCTCAAATCTATCCCTCTATTATTTTTTACATCAAACATGCTTTCTTAATATATAATATACACACATCATCAAATTAAATTTAGTCCCTTTTTATGGCTTATCTTCTCCATCTGCAACTCCAATCATTAATAACCACAATCACATCCTCTATCTGTTCCGCTTTCTCTTCCTTCAACCCAACATTAATTAAACGCAAAAACTTGTTTTTCACAAAAGAACCTTGAAGATCGACTTTTGAATTTCAACCACCTTTTGAAAGTCCGCAATTATTGATTGATTTGACTCAATCATAAAAATTAGAACCAAAATTTTTTAGAATATCTTGATTTCAAAGTATCAAAGGTTGTCAACATCGGTTTAGCCCGTTGGCCCAGTTGATTAAGTGGGTTGAGGGTTAATGGCTCAATAATTTTAGTCAGCTTTTGCTCGGATATATGAAAAATTCATTATATTGTTAATATATTTATAAATTAAAAAATTCCATCTACATATGGATAATATTCTTCCTCGCCCTGACTATCTACATTTGTTTCTCTTTCTGCTACTTTTCGCTATCCTTCTTCGAGCTCTTAAAAAGCACTCCAACAACATGTATTCATCCCGAGATGAAGGTCGCACTTCTTTGGCAGCTGTGTGTGTCAAATGTGGAATTAATGAGGAATGACCAAGTGGGAATTGAGTATGGGGTGTTTCTGAGGGAAGGCAATATGTGATGGAAAGCGAGTTCTACCATCGTCTCTTTGTCTACAGAATTGACTCGACGAATTTTTTTTTTTTATAAGGGTGATGATAGAATTAATAAAACAAAAAGCAAAGTACAAGGGAGGAACTAGGATCACGAGCACTGATCCTAGACAAGAGTACATAACAAAACAAAGCAAAAGGAAAGGAAAGGCGAACAACAAGCACTAGGTGGACCAGACCACCTCTGTGCACCAAAAGGAAACAAGAAGACCAAAGGGGACAGCGACAGCAAGAAGAAGCCGTCTGACAACAAGTACAAAATCCCCAAACAGCCACCCAACACCCAACCGCCAAACAGCCGCCCAACAGCCGAACCAGACACCAAGAAACCTTCCAACTGGGATCAGAAAAGAAACCCTGCAGTGCGCGATCCACACCCCTACACAATAGAAAACCAGCCAATACCACTAGAGAGCTCGGGCTCGACAAGATCAGGAAAACAGCAGCACAATCAACTAATTAACCGAGGCCTGAGATGCTCGGAAATCCAATCCACCCCCTGCGCTTTACTGACTTTCCCATGGGCAACAACCCACTCGACTGCCCACCTTATTGCTCTTCGGAACACATACTTGGAACTATGATTAATGTCGTTGAAGGTTCGTTGGTTTCGCTCGAGCCAAACCTGCCAGCACACACCATGGAAACTGCAGGCCACAATCCACTCGTTGATGTTGTTTGGACAAGCCATAATCCAGCCGTCTATAGTGGCAGCAACATCACCGCTCGGAAGACTAAGTCCTCGGCAAGCCATAGCGACATCCGTCCAAACACTTTTAGTGAAAGCGCAATGAATGAACAAATGATCAACCGACTCCTCTTGAATGCCGCAAAGAACACACCTATTGGCCAGCACCAACCCTCTTTTCTGCATATTGTCCAACGTCAGCACCCTCTTGTGGGCAACGAGCCAAACGAAAGCACAGATCTTGCTCGGAATGAAGCTTTGCCAGATGAACTCGGCTGGGAACGTGGCCACCCCCGGGAATCTGCTGCTGGTCAGGAACCTATACATAGAACAAACAGAGAACGTCGACTCGGGTTCCGGGGTCCAAACAAGTCTGCTCGGTCCACACGAAACCCGGCGACTGTCAACAGAACAAAGGACTCTCAAAAGATTCAAACGCTCCCTCTCCGTCCCACCCCTTAAGGACACAGTAAGATTCAAGTTCCAAGCAATACCCTCACCTGAAGGAGTCGCAATGTCGGAGATCCAGGCGTTGGGAGAAGCGGCAGCGGCAGCGACTCTGGGGAAGGCGTCCGCAAGAACTAAGTTGGGGATCCAGCAATCCTTCCAGAAAGACACCCACGCACCACCTCCCGGATCGACGTGAGCCGCTTCCCAAAAGCTATTTGCGGAGTGAGAGCTAGAACGGGAGCGTAAGAGCGTATATTCTTTGAGAATTATAATTTAAGTGCACCGAAAGAGCATAAATATTATATTATTTTAATTAATACATCATTTAACTTACTAACATATTTAGGTCAAAATATTACAACAATGCAACGGAAAAATAAAAAAAAATCATTTTAGTAGGATAATAGCTTTAAATCATCTTATTAGACTAAAAAAAAGAACAAGCTTCAAAAGTTGAACAGAAACCCACCAAAATTTACGATATTGTTTAGTTTTTTATTGAAGTTTTTAGTTTTATTTTTATCAAAGGAAAATAGAAATGAATGTATCGTTTATCCCCCATGCATTTAATTAGTTGTTAATAAAAGAGTATATCTTCTTCTTCCCCTTTCGATTCTTTGTTTCCTAAGCCAACACTGGAGATCTCCTGTAGATGTACCAACTTGGCAAATTCTATATCATCTACCATCAAACTAACCTCGTATCCTTTTATTTAGACCCAAGCCCGTGATTTGATGATCTATTTCACAGTCCCCATTCACAAACTCGTGGTGTATCCTTTTTGTCTTTTCTCTCGAAATCTTTGACAGAAACACATGTATTCCTTTCTCCCACGAAGAAGCGGGTCATCGTCTTCGAGCAAAGCTGTTGATTTGGCTATAACTTGATTCATTTTACTTTGTTGATAGAGAAAAATCTCTCTCAAATAATTGATATATGAAATACAATTTGTGAACTTTGATTTCGATGCTCTGATTTTTAGTTTGAGCTACAAAAATCTGGGTTTTTGAAGTTGTAGTTTCTATAAAATTAATTGTGAAGCAAAAATATCATTCCTACTTTCGCTCTCATTGTCGGAAATTTGAAATGAGACAACAATTTTCTCATTTCAGTAGTATATATTATGTAAAATGTATATAAAGACATGTTATTTCCCTACAAATTAATTAGCACATAAAAAAGATGAAATGAACCAACTTATTAAACTCATAATGATTGTTGGATCCAATCATGTCAGAATAGGAAGAGGTTTATAATTTGACCGTTAGCCAAATTAAAATGTTCAAAGAACAAGTCCCATATAGTTTACACAAAGATATGAATACGATTTTGTCATAGTAGGTCTAAAAATTAATACTAATTTAAGAATTATACAACACTTTTACATATTCAATACTGCAATTCATATGGAATATTCGAACCAATGATATTTGGTCCACGATTTTAAAGTTATCCTTTATTTATAAGATATATATATATGAATTTAATTAAGTATTAAATAATGAATAAAATGATGAATTAGGCCTCTGTTAGTCACACAAAGTTTCAACTCAAATGCACGTGTCTCTAATAATTTTTGCTTCTTATTTGTATGAGATGAGGTCGACTTGCTCTATGACTGTGTAGTTGGAGAAAAATAAAATTTACTATTGCGGGATTGTCATGGCGTTTGAGATGGTTGGGTCTTGTATTGTAGGCTCTCGAATCTAGAGCAAGAAGAAGAGACGATGAGATAGTGGAACATAGTTTGTGATGTTTCATGTTGTAGGGCTCTGTGATAAGTAAAAGGATGATATGACACCGTAGTTGTATACTAATTGTTGAAATCATCATAATTTAAAAGTGGCACAGTGCTCGAATCAATTGGTTAAATCGGTCAGATTTCCCGCCGAGATAGACAACTTGACTTTGACCAAGCCTGAGTTGACAACCGACTGCGCCTTCCGCACCAGCTGAGATACTCAGGTTTATGTAGAATTGGTTCGACCAGCAGACTCATAGAGTTTGCAATTCCAACGACAAGGTGTTTTTTGAGAAAAATTTATTTATTGGTCTCCCGAAACTGCTCCTTTATGGTATAATCATTAAACTCGAATCAATTTTCACCAAGAAAATAGCTATTTAAGATAATATTATTATTGCACGGCAAACTTAACCATGCATATATGAATTGAAGAGCCACAAGAAAGAAAGAGGAGTTGGCTAGCTATCTCCTCGAGTTGGATACGCAGAGAAGAGAAGCCATACAACAAAATGTCATGGGATCATATAAGTCATTGAAGCCCTAGTCATTTATTAACGTAGCTTTGATTGGTTAATTACACAATATTATTGAAATAATGGAGTATAGTGTGTATAGGTGGTTACAATTGAAAGTAAAACTACGAAACCAATTATAAAAAGAAGGAAACCAAAGTGGCTGACACAAGTCACTCGTCCTAAACTTTTGAATATGTTACGTCACATCGAACCCATCTTATCATTGCAAAATCAAAAGTGGGACTTTCTTTAAATTTCCTAAAATTAAATTGAAATGAAAAAAAAAAAATTTGGGAGTACTTGATGATGCTTGAAACGATTGGCATCATTCCCATTTCAATCTTTCGCCACTTTCTTCTTCTCCGTATGTATCTTGTTCTCTTCCATTTTCCATTTTGGTTGTTCTTTTCCTTTGTTATCACGAAAATAAATTATGAGTTACAGTAGTAAAATGTTTCCAATCATATAATTGGTACTTGACATGATCAACTTTGATTTGTCGACATCCTTGGAAAGACTACTTCCTCAACGAGGGAACTATCAACATAGTTAATTAACAACCAAGGAAAGGTACGTAGTTAATTATTTAGGTCAATTAACAAAAACGGACACACTAAATGATTGTTCAAGGTGAAAAAGTTATGAATAGATCATTTAAACTTGTATAACAACAAAAACAACATTTTCGTACTAGGTTTAATTTTGTTTATGGAGAAATTGCACCAAGCAAACCCTATAAATGAATGATTTAACAATTGATTGCATCACAAAGTATGAGGAACCTAGAGCAATGGTGGATTAAATAGAAAATTATTCGGTCATGATGGAGATATCGAAGGCTAGTTAATTAATTATATTCGATCAACTATAATAGCGGACGTCATGTTAATAAGGCAGTACGTAGTGATTCTCTACAAGGATAGCTATTACATTAAAGGTAGCAACTTGGATTGATTAAAGTGATTAATAATCAAGACTATTTATTTTGGATTAGATAGTGTAATTTGATATTTATCCCACAACTTTCGTGTTAATGAAAGTCCAAAACAGATAATTATGTAATAGCTGTCAAGAACCAGTTGCTCCCAATAACTCGAGTTGTTGGGAGAGGTTCAATCGTGGATCATATACCACACACTAACACGCCCGAGTAGTTGGGAGAGGTTCAATCGTGGATCATATACGATATACCACACACTAACACGCCCCCTCAAACGAAAGTCACTCACAAGGGCTTGAAGTTTGCACAGGTCCAAATACCATGTGCTTAACAAATGGGGGTCACCGGGAATCGAACACAAGATCTCTCGGTCACAGAAGGCTCTTATACCATGTCAAGAACCACTTATTTTCAATAACTCGAATTATTGAGAAATGTTCAATCGTGAATCATATACCACACACTAACAATAGCCATCGGTTACACTATTAGAAAGTCCACCAAACATGTCTCATTTCCACCCTATAGTAACATGCATGGGATACCACTTAGCTAAGCTTTGTTCGTTTCTGACTGTGCATTTCCTTTTCTTGTACTGTTGAAACTCTGAACTAATATGGTTTTTTGGACACGTTTTGTTTGAACGTTATCTCATAATGAATTCATTATAGCTTCTCTGGTCAATCACGCATCTATCTATCTTACAAACACAATGCTAGCTGGCAACACAATGCCAACAGAAAAACTGTCATCGTGACCGACTTAAAAAAAAAGGGGCGGAAAACATATGTGAACAAGAACTAATTTTTACATGCAGTATTTTTCTTTGTTTTATCTCGTTACGATAATCATGTATTTCAAGTCTCATGGAAGAAAACAATTCAAAAGATTTTGTTTTATGAAATCGGAGAATATACTACAAAAAATTACTGTCTAGCTATTCATTACCATTTATCTTCTTCAACTTTAGATAATATAGATCGAAATTGATTTTTTTCCCCCATAGAAAAGGACGAGCAGACAACTAGTTAAACCTTATAAATAAATAGTTACGGTAGCCTACTAGCCTATCCCATGTACGTGTGAACATGGTGTTAACTAGTTGGTCTCAATAACTCGAGTTGTTGTGAGAATGTTATGTTGGATCTTATACAAGTCCATGTATGGTCAGTGGCGGATCCATGGGGCTCTAGGGGTGTCCCGGGACACCCCTAAAATTTGGGAACATGATTATTCAACCCCCGATAATAGTTTGCATATAGGTAAAACAATATTTTAGTGGTGGCGAGACACTACTAAAATTTGGAAAAACGATTATAATTCCCCAATAGTAGTTTGTGTATGGGTAAACATAAACATTTAAGTGGTTTCCTATGTGATTTGAACTTGGGTCGATGTTACTATTAGTAAACATATTTTTCATTAGATTATAACTCATTTGTCATTGTATTTCAAATCCAAATATAATAGTAAAAAGCAATTTTTTATCCCAATTATTTTGAAAAGCTAACGATTGAACCCAATTACGGGCTCCCCTATTCTAGTAGGATATATCGAGAGAGATTTATAGAGCATTGTTGGACACCGATTGTATTTTACAATTTTTTCAAAGTACGAAACACGTCATGTTCTTATTTACTTATTATTTTAACTTAATTTTTAGGAGATGACACCCCTATACAAAATTTCTGGATCCACCACTGTGTATGATACTTAATCACTTCCTTACACATTGCCTATATTAAGTGTAGGATACCCTATGAACTTTATTCACTACCAGTCCTATTTGATCCTTCCTTCCCTAGGTGACTAACACTTTGCATAAAATGGGATCGAGAAAAGGCATAAAAAACAAAGTTCTTTTATTCAATTTGGATAGAAATCTATGTGAAAGAAAAGAGCATGTGGGGAATGGAGAATATCTAAGTACAACCCATTATTACCTCTAACCTCTCCAGCTAATAAGTAATAACGGTCTCCCCCTTATACTGTAGACTTGTTGGTTCACCTATATAAATCTCTGGCCTTCACCAAACTTCTCATTTAACTATACTCGATTATTATCCCATGCATGAAATGAGAGCACCGCTTGTAAATCTCCCTTACGGAGTTGCTGCAGGTTATAACGGCACGATCTGCAGCAGCAGCAATGGCGGTACTGAAGTAGTGGGAATTAGTCAAGATGATGATCATGATCAACTGAGAAGAGGGCCTTGGACACTGGAGGAAGACAGTCTTCTCTCCCATTACATCGCCAGGCATGGCGAAGGCCGCTGGAACATGCTCGCCAAATGTGCTGGTACGTTATATCGAAACTAACCAGTTATGGTCTCAATATAACTCGAGTTGTTGGGAAATGATTTGTTAAGCCGGCCTTTTTAATCTCTTAACAGGACTGAAAAGAACTGGGAAGAGTTGCAGGCTAAGATGGTTGAACTACTTGAAGCCAGATACTAAGAGAGGGAATCTCACTCCTAAAGAGCAGCTTCTAATCCTTGAACTCCATTCCAAGTGGGGTAATAGGTAAAAAAAAAATTCTCTTTTTTAAGGAAAAATACCAATCAATATATATACTTCTTGTTTGGAACATTAAAGTACTATATATATTTCGCGTCGTGATTAAATATTAGTGATAAATCTTTTTTAATTAGGTGGTCACGAATAGCTCAACATCTGCCTGGAAGGACCGACAACGAGATCAAGAACTACTGGAGGACGAGAGTGCAGAGGCAGGCAAGGCAGCTCAACATCGAATCCAACAGCAAAAAGTTCCTCGACGCTGTGAGGTGCTACTGGATGCCACGTCTGCTTCAGAAAGCTGAACAGCAACAGCAAATTACTTCATCATCATCATCAGATGGTCAACTACTTCCAACTTCGAGTAGTACTATGCCTGATCAGACGATTCTGAATCATCATGATCATCAGGTGGCTGCAGCGGATTCTGCAGGTTCCCTGCTATCGCCTGCAGCGGATCATCAGCAACTGATCATCGCTAATAATCCGTATTACTCTTTTCCACCACAAGAAGAGGCAATCATCCACTTCTCGAACATGACGACCTCCCTTTCCACAGGCTCCACAACGGCGTCGTACCAGCACCAGCAAAACCCTGAGGCGGGGAAGAAGGTTGTTGAATCGGAATATGTTGGAATATTCTCCATGGAAGAGATGGCGGATCCAACAGCTGATCATGAATATTTATGCCAGGTGGGAGGCGATGATGATGGCAACTGGGTGGGGTATAACTATGACGTGGCGGATACACTCTGGAGCTTGGATGACATGTGGCAGTACGGGATTCGAGGGAACGAGCTTCTAGCTAGCTTATAGTTGAGATAGGAAGAGAGGGAGAGGTTACTTAGATGATGATGATGTTCTTTTTTTAATTAATTGTCTTTATAAACCCCCTCACTAATGTACTCTAGCTAGGCTAATAGCTATAGCCTATAGGTCATTATATTGATTGGAGTCGTATTAGATCGTGATATGTTATTCTACGATTTTCATTAAGGGATCGTATTAATTAATTATCATCTTTCTCCAGCACAAATGGATTATTTTTTTATAACGGGAATATAAAAAAAATTATCATTATGTACTATTTAAGGGATTCGATGGAATCCTCAAATTGAAAACCAATGACTACTGTGCATTTCTCAAACTCTGTGATGAAAAATATTTAGCATCAACCCTAAAAATTCTAAATCTAAATGAACTCACTTAGGAACCCCTAATCCGAAAAAGTCCCGATCATAGATTCTATTAAAAGGGTGACACTTCTAAAAGTTCATACTCATTCTTTGTCTATTCGAAGGTTAAGTAGGTTGTAAGTTTGTTTTTCAAGTATTAATTAATCTAAACCTCATTTTGTCCTCAACCTTACCTCAATAATATTCCGATGTGTACCAAGCACTAACAGAAAAGGAATTGAGATGGTCGCGTTGGTTGTGAATTGAAAGGAATGATGGACAGAAGTGATAACACATAGGATTGAAAAGAGAAGTGTTGTCACATCTACCAAATCCACAGGACATCAAAATTTTTGATGAAAAGACTTTGAGAGAGATGGAGAAAGAGGTGGAGGGATGGAATTGGGTGAATGTATGTAGTCCCAAAACATTTGTTACCCCACTCTTGACATTGTTTTTTTCCTTTGTTACCCCACTCTATTCTTTATTATTAGTATCATTGCCAGCAAGGTTGTCAACCCGTGGGTTGATCCGGACCCGGTTGAGCTAGTGGGTCAAGGGTAAATGGGTCACCCGTTTTAGCCCGGTTTAGCCCGGAAATATGGAAAGCGTCATTATATTGTACTTATCCTGATAAGTTATATCAAATCGCATCTAACATATGAGTTATAACATATAATATTACACCAAAATAACATTTCGTACTTAGATTCAACATATAGTGAAAATTCACACACACTTATATAACATTAATATTCAAATGTTCAACTTAGGATTCCAAAGATTGAGTTAGGCGAAAATAAAAATCAAAAAATAGGCGCATTTCGCAAAACAAAGAAAAAAATGACACAATTTGACCTCCAACCCAGTACCTTGGGGCGGTCGACCTGGCGGGTGCGTGCGGCCCGTTTTTCTTACCGGGTCAAAGCGGGTCGATCCGCGGGTTGACAACCTTGATTGCCAGAGATGCATTCAACTCGATCGGTTGCTGATTGCCAGGAGTAAACACAAGGCAATGAAGGCATGCCTATAAGTTACCTAGTGATAGTTGAACTATTGTGATGTGAGAGAAAAGAATGCATTACACAATCACTCGTATTATTTATGGACCGCGAGTAGATTAGGAGTGTTTTAGTATTTTATTATGTACATGGCTATTAGGGTTTTGATTTATACAATATATTATACTTTTAGCCATTTGATCAATTTATCGCAGAAGCAATATACTAATTACTTGTTCTGATTTCATCTCTCAATTTGCTCTAGTTCTCTCAATCTTGTATTATTTATTTCCGAACTCATACTCGATTTCTTCTTTGCTTATGTCTCAAACCCTACCAGTTTGCTCTTACTTCTCGTATAATCATTCTCTCAAGTCACGTAAAATGAATTTTCTTACATCTAACCATGCCTCACAGTCGTCTGATAACAAAGCCAAATGGTTCTGTTGGTAGGAGGGGGCGAGGGGTTATAGCCCCCAACTCTCAAAATTGTGGAAATTTACATGTAAATTTTGTAACAAATTTCGCAAATAGAATATCAGGTGGTAAGACTTTATCTCCCCTTCCCGTTTCAAATCCCATAATTTCTTCAAATGTGTTATTTCATACAAATATCACATAGCAAATAACGAATATTGTGACATGCGATATTATTTGTGTGGTAATTGATCCCAAATAACAGGTTTGATAAATACCACATCCAAACAACTCATGAATGTAGAATTTTAGTCCCCTCGTTCAGATTCCTGGCTCTTCCACCAATTAAAAGATATAATCATGGTGATTACATCTACTCATTCAACATGACATCTAAAGTCTTTTTCATTGGTCAAGGTCCCAATGTATTGGGGAATTGTTTAGCCACCACATTGCCTAAGGTATAGTATAGAGTGGTAGCTAGCTAGCTAGCTAGCCTTTTCCAAAGTGAATGACTTGCATGATATAGGTACCAAGTTCATCCACGTATCATATCAAAGGGAAAAAATTTGGCGGTGAGAGTGGCCTATATCATCATATGCGCACATTTTGGCACTATTAATCTGCAGGAATAACGCTATGTATGCAAATCCCAAAACGAATTCTCGTCCAAAATCAGAATTAGGAAACAAGCAAAAGAATTCTCAAAATGAAACATGATAATGCATGCGACTTGTCAATCCTTTCATTAAAACACTATTATATACCTTATCATTGAACTGAGGATTGGATTATTCAAAGTTCAATAATTACCACTTCTTTGACAAAGCTATATTGGGTCCACTATAAAAAAAATATACATGAAGGAATACTTATCGATAAACCTCGATCATCATAGTAGTTTGTTTAACCAAAATGACAACATATCCAAACTATATAGTTTGTTTGATATTTCGTGTACAGAAGGTAGAGCTAAATGTAGAGAGTATTTAACTACATGAGAGCAACAACCCTTACTCTCAATATTTGACCTAAAATTTTAAGGTGCATGCTTGCATTGAAATGACTATGGAAGTGGTACGATACTTCATTATGAACCCTTCCAAAATTTAGGCTCGATATTTGTTTAAAATATGATCCACATATTGACGGAAGATATAAGCCAATCCTTATCTACATCTAACACCGTTGTTGGCAACATATTAGCTAGAATTGGACATGTTAAAGATAAACCAATTAGGGTTTTATGCATCATGTGGGTCATTTTGACTAGGGGAGGCAGTTGCGTGGATTAATGAAGATAAAATTGCTTTAAATTTGACAAGGAAATCGTTGATAACCTCATAAAATGTTGGGCATGACTAACGGACAACAATAGTTAACTTCCAGGTTGGAACAGGATACGGTGACAACCAAGGGTATTTTGGGTATGAAAAAAAGGAATATATTAATTACTTTTTTTTGTATTAATCAGATTGGGAATTAAAAACTCATATTAAATACAATTTTTTTTGAAATTTAAATCCTATACATTAATATCTCTATCTCTCTCTTCCTTTCTCCTGCGGGCACTCCGCTTCGATGGACAGACTTTTTCTCTGGCGAATTCTCTCCAGCAGACTCCCTCCGGCAACCTGAAAAAATGTACCAGTGCGTTAAAATACCAATCTATTAGTCTATTGGTAATTAATATACCAGTGCTAGTGGTACGCTACCAGTGCTAGTGGTACGCTACCAATACTAGTGGTACGCTACCAGTGCTAGTGGTACGGTACCATTAGCACTTGTAGCGGTACCATTAGCAGTACCAGTACCACTGGTAGCGGTACCATTAGCAGTACCAGTACCACTGGTAGCGGTACCATTGCCACTGGTAGCGTACCACTAGAGACTAGCACAAAAAAAATCAGATCTGAAATATGAAAAATCACAGATCTGAAAAAAAATAGGGATGACGAAAGGGGGAGGCAGGGGAGAGGCGGTGACCTCGTGGCGACGGTGGTGGTGGGAGACAGAGGGCGGCAGGAGGGTTGCGACGACGGTGGTGGTGGGAGGCCATCGCGGCGGTGGTGGGAGGCCATCGCGGCGGTGGTGGGAGGAGGAGGCCGCGATGACTGCGGGGCGAGGGACGTGACAGTGCTGGGAGGCGGAGGGCGCGACGACGGGAGGGCTGCAGCAGTGATGAGAGGCGGAGGGCGTGGCGGGTCGGCTGCGACAACGGTGGTGGCAGCCGATAGAGAAAGAGAGAGGGAAGAGATGGGAGGAAGAAGAAGAAGAATAGGAAGAAGAAAGATGGTGTGAGAGAGAGAGAGAGGAAAGAGAGAGTGTAGGGTTTTAGATATTAATAGGGGTAATAATCTAGTGTGGTCAATTTTTTTCGTCCAAAAATACCCTTAATCCAATCTGTACCATTGATTTGAAAAAAAAAAAGAAAGAGACAAGAGAGAGAATGGATCTTATGGTTATAAAATGGGTTGTCACCGTATCTCATCCCCTTCCAGGTTGTAGCATATATTGGACAAGCATTAATACAGCTAGCTAGATGCATGAAACATACTATTACGGGTTATGTGGTGATTGACTTCGACAAATTGAATCTACCATATTTATGGGGTTTATGTGCTGCTCAAAATTGTATTGATTTAACGATTGCAACTCTGAGTAGTGAGAGAGTTTTTTCAACTCCGGATTACATATATAGGAACAAGTATCATAATAGAATAGGCAATCAATTCGTGATTGATTGCCTAATAGGATATATTGAAAGAAATTTGTTTAGCACTGTAGACAGTTGGTGTATTTTACAATTTTTTTCAAAATATAATAACAAATCGTGGACTTTTGTTGTAACTTGTAATAGTAAGATATTTTTTTTTAAATAGAAAATTTAAGAGGGACCCAGACATCCTTATATATAATTTATGGGTCTACCGCTAACCGTTGTATGTTATTATAAGCGAAAAAGTTAAACTACTCATAAGGTTTTTTGTGAGTAGATACTTACATGGCTCAAATGGGTAAAGAAAAAGGAGAAGTTATGACCCATTAAATTCTCAGTCACCTTTAACTTTCTAACCCTCTTTCTCTCTCTCATTTCTTTCTTTGTTTTTCCGCCTGTAATGGATATTGGTCAGTGATAGATTGTTTTTTCATGTACTGATATTAGTATGATGATAGGATATAATGATGTTCAGGCGATGGATATTAGTTTGTAAAGTAATGGATATTGTGTCTTCCATCAAAACTAAACACACTATCAAATCCTAACACATAAGGCTTACAACCTTAGTTAGGGCTGCCCGTCGAGGGCCCATGGGCCTTCGGGCCATGAAACAACAATATTTGTTTGCAATGAATGGATATCAGTTTAGGTGGTTCGGATATGTATAGTTGGTATTAGTCTGTGATGGACAGATATTAATCTGTGTGGTGGGTATCAGTTTGCGATGGTCAGATATTAATCTGTTCGTCGTGGATATTTATCTGCGATTGTCAGATATTAGTCTGTGTGAGGTGGGTATTTGTCTGCGATTATCAGATATTAGTCTGTGTGAGGTGGGTATTTGTCTGCAATTGTCATATATTAGTCTGTGTGAGGTGGGTACTAGTCTCTATGGTGAGGATATTAATTATGGGCTGACTAGATATTGGTCTTAGAGGATATTTGTTATGGTGAATAGATATTATTCTAGGTGGTTTGGATATTTGTTTTGTGTGGATGTGCTATTCTGACGAAGTGATGGAAAGAGAGGAGGAGACTTGCAGATGATTTTTTTTTTTATATGTGGATCATCTTTTCTCTATAGCTGGATAGTGAGAATGGTGAGCATTTTTTTAATTTGTGGGCCTCCCTGTGAGTATATACTCACAACTTACCTTGTGAGTAGGATAACTAGATTGTATTATAAGTGGTTACTAAAATTTCAACATTAGACTTCTCAATTAGAAGTCGTAAGTCACAGTACTATGTCAAAACTCAAAACTAATTTATCTCAATAACGCTAAAGTTAAAATTAAATCTTGAGAAGTTTGTAGACAATACTCCAGGGAGAAAAAGGCAATGAGAATAACAGTTGATTGAATAAGATGATACAAGTACAAATTTCATCGTCATCGTTTAGATTGTTATTCCATCGGATTCCTATTCTACCATCTACGCACATCCATGCACATGAGCAGAGTTCCTCTGCTTTTGCTTTTGGAGCAATATCTTCAAAAGTTAGCAGCCAAAACAGAACAAGAACACAGTAGCACTGCAACAAAAGATTTATGCTCCTAAGTCCAAACTACTAGCAGCATCCATTATCATCAGTATCTTATTCTATCAGAAATCTCCCCAGCTACCCCTCAATCTCAAATCATATGCCAATATGAAAAAAGTGAAAAGGTGTCATCACATGATGGGAGAAGAAGGCACTACAATCATAGATAAATTCTTCCATTGGCTCGTGTTTTTTTTTAGCATTCCAAATAAAATAGTACAAAATTTTACACTTAGAGCTTCGGAAAGGTCCGATTATAGATTTTATGTCATTCTCTTATATACTCCACACAAACGAAAGTCAACTAATTAGTTTGAAGTTTGCAGAAATACATCATACTTTGTGTCTAAATAAACTAAAAGCTAATAGAGATCATGAAAAATTGAATCGAAAATTCATTAGTTAAACACTCTGATATCATGTCAAGAACCAATTTATTGCAATAATTCAAAGTTAGTAAGACATGTTGAAGTACGAATCACATATCCTTTATCGTCCGCCAAGTTGTTTAGGAAGAAATTTACCCATACATACTCCTCACCTCTCTGGTTTGATCAACCCCCTTAGGCCTTAGCTCTAAACTACTTAAGCATGAAAATGTGCATTTCAACTAACCTGTCTACTGCAGCATGCACGCAGCCTCTGCACATGTAAAAGCGTGAGGAGACAGAACTCTCCAAGTTATTAATGGAGGAGGGGGGGCCAAACAGGGAGAATTTCTTGGCCTCTCTTCTTAGCTTCCTCGATTTCCCTTTCATATGGACAGTGCATTGTATATATACTGCTTGCATATGGCTGCTTTAGTTAACCAGCCACGCTTTCTAAATAAAGGGAAAAAAGGCAAGGAAGAAGTCAAAGAGTGAAGATTAGTCTACTTTTTTCCCCATGGGATGGGATATAAACCGTATTTGGTGCATGAACTAGCTAGAGAGGCAGCTGCTGCTGAAATGGGGGAATTGACTTGGTTTGGTAGGACCATTGAAGTGAAACGCAGGGGTCGGTTGGCTCTGTTCTAAGACGACTCTTGACTTAATATCAAAGTTAGACGACTTCAACCATACAAGAGTCTGATCTGAATCAATCGAGTTCATCGAGTTACAGAGAGTCATTTAGATTACCCTGCTAACTAAGGTAAGATGTGTACGTATAAAACAAGGGAAACAAAGTCTGCAATAAACAGAAAAACTCGAGTTGACAAGCAGCTAATCATCTCTGCCGCGCGCAGCTATAGCTTGCACGCCTCGGGAAATTTGTCTACTTACCAACTTTGCCATAGCTGTCTCGCAGTGTCACGATCCGATTAAACATAAGATTATCCGGGGTAGAGTCCTTATCAACTGCGAAGTAGCCTGAGTAGAATGTTGGGAAAGAATGAAGATTCAGGATAGAGTTAGCGAGCGGAAGTTTATGGTTTCACCACCACCAAGAAATGGAACATCAGATGTGTAAAGAGGTAAACTTTTACCGAGTCTTTCAAACTGGAATCTGTCTCCAACGGCAGCACTTTTGAGCACTGGGACAGCATATGCACCAGTCACAACCTTCTTGGAGTTTGGGTTCAAATCGGCAAGCCAATCATCAAGTTCAGCAGGATTCTGATAACCGTAATTCAAAAGGACAAAATCATTTATTTGTGTAAGAGTAGAAACTACCAAGAGAATAGACAAAAATAAATCGCTGACCTCGGAATTGAACAGTTTCTCAAACAATCTGACTTCCGCTTTCAGTGGCTCTACCCCAGGTGAAGGTTCACAAACCCAGTGCAGAACTCCCTGCACAGATCAAAGGAATCAGTCACAAGGTAGCCAATATATAGTACTAACTCAACTAATCATTTGCCAGATCATTCAGATTGGTGAGACTAATAAGGAACCTACCTTTGGCTTTGTTTTCTTGGAGGGATCATATTCAGCTCGGATCTCAACAATAGTCTGGTTATCATCTGCCAAAACTACATCTGTACACTTTATGGGGAAAGCATATCTGCATATAAAGAACAGTATTTCAGTTAGATAGAAAAATAAAGATAGCATTTTCTGTTGCAGTGACTTTAAGCAAACACCATCAGCTTATCTATTTCAGTTGAACATATAGACAGCAGGGCAAAGTCGACCATTACAACATACCTGAGAAGGACCGATTTTCCAGGAGCAAGCCCATAGTAATCCTTGGAATCTTTCATCCGGAAATCAGATTGTTCAATGTACACAACATTTGAAAACGGAACCTGAGGGCATGGGGGGAAAAGAACACAGAACGTTAATCAAAGATTTCACAAATAAGGCTCACTTGATATGAATGACACACTGACCCAATAACAGCCTGAAACTCATCACTCAAAATAAATTATGATTCTCTCAGACCATCACCTTGTAAAATGCAGAAGAATCTTCTGTCTGAGCATCAGGCCATTTCTTCGCTTCTAGATCCATAACAGAAGCAGAGTCAAAGTTGGTGATGACCACCTTCAGAGGATTCAGCACAACCATTGCGCGAGCAGCAGTCTTATTTAGTTCTTCCCTTATGTGATACTCAAGGCGATCCATACGAATCATACTATTGTCACTGTAAAGACACAACAACAAAAAACCATACTGGATGTTGGATACAATTTTAAGATACGAGCATTCATACAACAGGCAGCATTTGACAAAGCCAACAAAATGGATCCCATCTTGTTTGTACTGTGCAACATCATCTAGCTAGAGCAGGAAAGTCGGGACAGATTGCAATCTATATACCCGAAGTATGTTTTACTCCAAAAAACAATTCAAGCTATTAACAGCAATGACTGTTGCTGTAACACTTAAAAGCAGTATCCAACAGAATCTTTAAATTCCAGTTTGACTCATTTTACTGTTCCAGTCATTTAGCAAAATCACGAAATTTCACTGGGATATTTTATCCAACACAGATAAGTCTGTTTCCAACATTTAGCAGAATGGCTAAATTTAATTTACTTCCAGAAACCTACTTGACAAAACTGAAGAGATCTCCTCAATAAGAGACCTGGAATTAAAGGATTAAACTTTCATATAACCGACCTTCTTGTTATTCCAATTCCTCGGACAAAAGTATTAATTGCCGATGATGTAACTCCTCTGCGCCTTAGACCAGCCAACGTCATGAGGCGGGGGTCATCCCAACCATCAACATGCTTATTTGTAACTAAGAAATTCAACTGCAATAATGAAATGAGCTCCACTCTTGTTAGGCCAAAGGAATATAGAATAATATTCATGCTTCCCAAAAACACTCTCAGCATGTTCATTTTACCTTGCGTTTTGACATCACTGTGTTGGTGACATTCAGCCTCGAGTATTCCCACACATAAGGTTGATAAAGGTCAAGGGAATGCAACAACCAGTAATAGGAAGCCCGTCGGGTCTCAAATTCCAGTGTACAGAGCTGGAAAATGTAGGGGGGAAATTGTTAATTGTTGTAAGAAAACTATATCCTGCATACAGTATCTAAACCACAGAACTAAATGTACAAAAATGTATTTAGAATGAAAAACTGAATGCTCTTGATCTCAATAGACAAATTTTGAGCAACAAAAGCACTACATATTTTCTTGAGAAACCTATTCATTGCTAGAAAAATACCGGAGTAAAATATCCGCAATAGCCAGAACATAATGAAAATAAGCTAGAGACTTCATGCGAAAATATGAATAAGTTCAGGCTTACCGAATGGGTGATATTTTCGAGAGAATCCACAATACAGTGAGCATAATCGTAACTTGGATATATGCACCACTTGTCTCCTGCATGTGGATGAGGAGTGAACTGACAGAACAAAAAGTTAGATGCTCGTAAAACTGAGAGAGAGTGTTTATATTGCAATTAATCTAAAACATGTTCTACTTACCTTGATTCGGTAAGCAATGAGGTCATACATATTAAAATTATCACTCTGCATGTCTTGCTTCATCCTGAGTGTCGCTTTGCCTTCTTCAATCATTCCTCGCTTCATTTCATCAAAGAGCCTCAGAGATTCTGAGATTGGTCTATCCCTCCAAGGACTGTTCATCTTCTTTTCCCTGTACTCTTTAATCTCCTCTGCAGTCTAGAAACAGCAGTTAACAAATAATTAAAAATAAATACAAGAAATTCAAAACAAGTCAATGCAACAAATATTATTTCATACTTCTGACACTGAAAACACAGATTTCACTTCACTCTTCCATTCCGGGAAGAGGCAAAAGAACAAGAAAAACACCTGAGGTAATTGCTAGCACTACATAACACCAAGTAGCAATAACTTCAAGAAATCCCACCCTGCCTCCACTAAGATATGATGGCATGGTTGAGGATTTTGTGGCACGACTCCCACACACACTACCAACAATCAATTGAGTACAGTGATGTATGATTACCCACCTGATGATCAACGTATGCATGACCCCTCCTTATCAGTTCAACAGCCAACTCATAGAGCTCTTGAAAATAATCACTTGTGTATGTTATCTGCAACCAAGAGAAGCCACGTCATTCAAGCACAACAAAAACACGAAACAAGAGCATTTCAGAGAGAAATGAGCTTTACCTTGAAGGGCTTCCAGCCCAGCCAGCTGACAATCTCCTGTATATGATCAATGTACTCTTTCTTCTCGGCTTCTGGGTTGGTATCATCGAACCTTAAAGGTGCAGTAGGTGATTATAGTAGCCCAAGAATGAAATAATGAATTGACCATTTTGCTCTTCCATCAGAATGGTCATTTCAGCAAAATCAAAAAGATGCCTAATAACTAAGTATTGGACAGATGAGGCAGTGTAGTGAAATACAATATTTTGATGTTCGAAATCTTGAAATTCAGGAGACAAATGTATGAAAAAACCTTTTACAATGAAACAGGCCGTTGAGATGGAGTAAACCATAAGAATGAAGACCCCAAAACAAGGGGGGAAAGAAGAGAAAGGGTCAAACAGTAACCCTTACCTAAGGTAGCAGCATCCATCTCTTTCTCTCGCTAGGCCAAAGCTAACAAACATTGCCTTCAAAAGGGGGGTGAAAAACTTAATGTCTTCTTTATAAGCAAGTGCTAAACAGGTCATCTGAAACATTATACTAAGAAAACACACTAGTACCTTAGCATGACCAATGTGTAGATAACCATTTGGCTCTGGTGGAAAACGGCTGTAAACTTTACCACCTGTTACCATCAGGTGCTTATCTAACATTTCCTTGCTGTTGCAGCACCTTAGAACAGGACGATCACTGAAGAATATTTCTGTGTGAACCTAGGAAAGTAAAAAATAAAAAAATATATGAACCATATAAATTGTGATACAACAGCGCCGTAATGGTGATACCACGGAGCATATCTCATCTACAATTCCCACACTAATATGAGTATGCAGAGACGATGCAAACAGAGACACAATTGCTACACTAAAATAAGCAAGCAGAACTTATATTTGAATATAATTTAGGGAACATATATCTATGATTGATTTATACTTCCTTCTCGATAACTTGACAATATCTGTCATCAAAGTAGATTCATAAGATATTCCATTTCCCAAAGTTCGAATCCAACAAAGGCATCTACAATCTGGTAAACTAATGGAGTTGATAAGAAAAAACAGGACATTCAAATACTATGACATCTACTTGAATAGAGGACCTGCAAAACGTCTGATTAACTAGTGTCAAACAAAAGAAACCACGCTTTACTTCTGTCTACACACAGTTAGCACATACTCCTTTTTCTCTAACTTGCCATGTATGAAACAAAAAGATTAATGGAAGTGCAAAAGCCACACTCCTTGTTCCTCCAACATTAATCATTTCGAAACAACTAGGGATAGGACCTTTCCAGCGTCAACCAGCTTCCAAATCCCCCTTTGCCATGTTCTCATAAATCACTATAATCAGTAACATTACCATCAACCCAAACTGAACTACTCTACTAACCACTTTAGGTAGGATTTATGTTGGAGATCAGTTCAGAGTTCAGACAATAAGAACAATGGACAACAAGGAAGAAATTTAAGAGAGGATAAATAAAGATAACATTAACAAGGAGGTGACAACTTACCTTGAAATTTTCCTTCGGATCAGGAAAATTTAAAAATGGATTAAGTTCTTCTTCGGAGGGCTGCACTGCAGTTTCAACAGAAACCTTCTTTTCCTACACAAGTCGTATAACCAAAAAGGGAGAGGTCAAAATATTAACGTCTTTTTAGGGTGAAACTGAAGTATGCCACAGTGCTTACCTCAACTTTAGCAGGTTTTTCTTTTTTCTGTTTAGTAGGCTTCTCATTATCTGCCGCTGTTCTCTCACCGAGCAATTCATACAATTTTGCATCTACAAGTTGCTGATTACACAAAGACAAAGGAAGCAGAAACTAGTAAAATATAGTTCAGTAAACAAACATTCTAAATGACCTTAACCTAATGGTTAAATATTGACCTTCACAATTTTTGGGTCAGCCCATGGAAGCCTCTTGCGAATGTTAGCAAATATGTCACCCACTAGAGTCAAACAAAGAATTTGCAATTCATCTCAACATGAGTCCGGTAATCAAATACTAACATTCTTCACAAAGAAGGCTGAAAACCAAAAGCTTAAGAAACCAAGATGAACCAAATGATTGAACATAAAAGTGTGAGAACAAGTAATCTAGAAACGACACCAACCATTTGTTCGATATCGCGAGGCCAAAATGGACTCCTTATTAAGCTCGAATATCTCACTGACAGTCTTTTCAATATCTTCAACAGATACCTCAATTCCTGGTTCAAGTGCAACCAAAGAATCATAAATTAAATAAACCATTGAAGACAATATCAACGACAGATTTTGTTTCCTGTGCATAAAATATTGAAAGGCTTAGAAACACATTCTAAGCTCCTATGACACTTAAACATTGCATAAAACTGTTACTCTCTTACTAAATTTTCTCTTTTAAGGATTCCACCTAAGTCACTCTTTAACTTAACCTGGTATTGCAACTGCCTTGTTAGTTAATCAACTTCAGTACCCAAAAAATTTCTCCCATTCTCTTACATCTTTGCGTTATACAATGTTCACAAACAAGTAATTCTCTAGAATACATCTGGTCTACTGCACAATGCTATTTAAGGAATGAAGTACAAATGTAGGCACTGCACGGAGCTCATATCACTTACCTACTCCACATGCTTCTTCAAACTCCTTCACATGAAGACTTTCAGAAGCAGTATTAGACAGAAAAGAAAATGCAGCTTCTAGCTGGGCTGTGGTCTTGATCTGCAAGAGTTGTGACAGAACAAGATTCAATGTAAATGTAGCTTCACTTCCATCTCAAACTTTTAAACCATCCCTCCGACTTAGTTTATGATTCATATGGGAGGAAACAGCACAAAAAGATACAGTTACTCAAACCTTGGATGAGACAACATATTCCAACAATACAGGGCGATGTGCAAGGGCGTTGGCAGGGTACTTCGTGGCTACCTACCAAACATATAGCATGTATAAAAATACCAACTTAGCATAGAATGAAATTTACGACTGAAAGATCGGTAACATGACCAGACTGAAGTTACACACATTGCCCCAGATTTTCACCCCCTTCAGATTGAAAACCTATATAGAATAACAGAACTAAAAAGGATCGATGAAGGTCTTGTCTTACCGAGTAAAGAAGATTTCCAACTGTTCGGTTGCATCCCTCAATTACACCAGCCTGAAACAGAGAATCAAATTATACTCCATCAAGACGCAGTTTCAAGACATGGTACACACGGCAGCAATGGAGAGCAGGTTTCAATAGAGTGTGTGTCTAGAATCAAGGTAAAGAAGGAGCAGCTCCAAAACGGAAAAATACAAGCTTGATGAACTAGACTAGGAGATGATACCATTACCCTCGAAGAACAAGATCGGCAGAAATAGATCGTCAAATTTACCTCGCGAATGACAGCAGTAAGATTGGTGGTAACCTTGTTGTTTGCTACAGTGTTCTTAGCAGTTCTCTCATCCAGCCCAATCTTCAAAAACAACTCCAATGTAGCCGATGAGCTCTCATTTTTCCCTCCCATGGCTTCAAGCTGAGCAGTAATCTCGAACAAGGGAACAGTTGTTGCTCCTTGGAATAGCGAGTGTGGCTGCTGACGGGAAGTAAGTGTCTGTAATATATATAAAAATATATATAAATATATATATACACACACACACACACACACACACATAGGGTTAGCGAAATAAGGCTACTAAAACAAACTTACCAATTCAAACAAACGCACAATACTTTCCAACCCGGAAAGAGAATAAGACTTTCACACCTTCCTTTTCTGGCGAATTGAAGAAAAATTTTACCAAAAACTGTTGAACCTAATAACAATGATCAATCTATGGCAAAAAAATGATAACAATGATCAATGTAAAACCAACGGTAGAACTGATGAGCATTCTATGAAAAATATCCCAAGTCTTTCCGCAATTGTGTCTCTATGCTAATTATGATGAGCATAGACGTTCTGATAGAAATTTGGTGGGGTGGGTTTCTGCAAGTCCTCTGATGGTTTCTGCAAGTATGGACCTTTGAATTGGAGGGGTGAGTTACTATAGATGAAGTTAGTTCAGAAAGAATAAAGGGGTATCAGCTTAAAGCCATAGCAACAAATTGACTAGTTACCAATGAGCTAAACTCCTGCATGAAGAAAGAAATTGATCCATCGCGCCCATAAAAATAAAAAAAAATTGATCCATTGCAGGCTCATGTTATGGGAGGCTACTGTGAGCTTTGGAAGAGAAGGAATTTATGCATGCAGTCAATACAGGAGTTTCATTATCAATGTTCAGTTCACATCCTTCTGAAAGCTTAAACTTAAGGCTCTGAAGACTTGCTGGCTTTATGACTTTTCACCACTGTTCGAAGGAGAAGGGGGTGGGCAGAGAGGCCGGCCAACCTCAGTCGTCGGCGGAGACAAGGAGAGAGACAGAGATAACAGCAGAGACAGAGCAAAAGAATAGCAGAACTTACACGTTCTGTCCGCACTCGGCAGGGAGGGGCGCCGGAGAGCAGAGAGCAGCACAACTTGCGGCGGCGGGAGTAGGATGAGACGGCCGCCGTAGCAGGAGCAGCAGCGGGCGGCGGAGGAGAGGATGAGGAGCCGCGGCAGCAGAGGCGGCGGGGTGGGGACAGGGAGGAAATGGCGATTAGGCCGTTAGGGTTTTGGGTTTTTGCGATTTTGATTTTGATTTTTGGGTTGCTCAGTCAGATTGATCGGAGAAAGGAAGGGGATTCTGTCGTGTCCACGAAGACGATCAGCCCACAGCAAAACGCAAACCGGTTGGTTCAAACCAGGCTGGGGCTGGGTGTTTGATGGCGCAACCTGGCAACCTTTGACCCAATATAACTCCTAATAATCGGTGTTCTAATTTAAACTTGCGAAAAATGTAATTAATTATGTTAGTTTTGACAAAAAAGTTAATTTTTGAGTACGAAAGAACATGGCAAACAAGCACGGTAGGGGTGGGCATTCAGTTCGGTAAACCCGAACCAAATTGACCCGAAATCGAACTAAACTTAATTGAAACCGAACTATCCTTGTTTGGTTAGGAATTCAAAAGGCAAAATCCAATATTTCTAAAACCAAGGTCTGCCTAACCGAACTTGATTTTCAAATTCCAAACCGACCAACCGAACTTACACTCATAGACCATAGTGCACAACCCAAGCTCACACAGTCCCAAGCCCGCTACATTTATTTTCTCATTTCTCTGGTAAAACCCTAGCCCAACCCAAACTTCACAACAATCGTCGGTGGAGAGTGAAGGCTTGGCGGCTGCTTTGTGGTGATTGGTGAACAGAGTTCCTCGATTTGCTAGCTTCGACGCTAAACCCCCCCCCCCCCCCCACACACACACACACACACCCACCCACCCAAAACCAAGATCTGCTTGACGCAATCGCTTCCCTTCAATGCTTCAACCAAATACAAAAAAGCAGCGCGAAATGTATGAGAGACACAGAGGCGAACCAAAAATTTCATGCGTACTTGGATATTAAGCCTTACTAACCTATAACCTTCGTCGTCGAAGTCGTCACAATCATCAATGTCAATCACCGTCGCCGCCTGTCGCTAAGTTGTTCTCTCCATCAATCGCCTAGTCCGGAGACAGGAGGAGAAATCAACTCATTGTGATATGAGAAGAGAGAGGCAGAGAAAGAATTTGTTCTGCGCATAAATGGTAAAGAATTTGTAACTTCGGGGTGGTTTTAAAACCGAATCGAATCGAGATGTATTTTGGTTTGGATGAACCAAACCGAAATATATTTTGATTTGAATTTGGTTTGCTCCATGAACTACTTCAGGGACCCGGTAATATTTGGTTTGGTTTGAACCAAACCGACAGAATGCCCACCCTTCAAGAACACCAATACCAAAATCATATATAGGTTGTAGTTGAATTAGTTCGTGACAAAAAGCAATTCAATCAGTTTAATCAAAGTTTCGAAACAATTTAAGGGTTATGTGGATATTTGATTTGGAAAGTATCGGTTTGTACCAAATCCATGCAATTGAAGAGTGATCAATTAAGACCATGAAATTTATGGATAGGAGATGATCGGAACTGAAAAGGTAAGATGAGAGATATGTGAAAATGAAACGTGGTTGATACTAGGGGTTAATGATGAGAGGTAAATGACAAACTGTGACACTCTCGATTCTTTGAAGTTTAGGGTTTTGGATAGGAAATTATAAGTCCGTGAAAGAATGTAGGAGAGGATGACAAATGAACGAGGAAAAACTAGAGAGGAGGGTACCAACAAAATGATTTTAAGATATGGTTTAGAGTTGGGTTTTTTATTCAACCAATCGATAAGAGCATGGTACGGACAAGATGTGTTTGTTGACGTACCACATCTTGTTGGCATGCTGACTAGGCACATTTAGCAGGAAAAATGGTCGAAACGAGCTAAGGGGATTAATCATTATTATGTCATGCACTGGAAATCTTAAGTGGTCATTTAGTTTAGCGATGGAAATGGTGTGGGACATGGTGAGAGCCTCAATACTCATACCCTGCTACGCACTAAGTGTGGTTGAAGTTGGATAATACTCACGCGAGTGTGTGGCCGGACAGGTCTATCCCTTTCTTGTATGTTATTTGAAAAAAGGAACGTTGTTATTGAACTCTTTTACAAGAACACATTGAGAAAATACTTCTTAAATGAATGAAAAATATAGTAGAAGGAATAAATGAGTCTAAATAGTTGAAAGATATAATATTAAAATTTATATAGGATGAAAATATGATTTTAGAAAGGTAAAAGAGGAGAAATACATGTAAACATTGATAGAACGGGTCGAGAATGGGGCAGGACGGGGAGGGGTGGAGTAGGTAGGAAGCAATACACATGTCCCGCCCCACGATACTGCGAATCAGGTAATACTATGTGATTGCACAACTCTTCATTGCTTCCTAACTTCTCATTCCCCTTTCGGTCAAGCATATTTTAGAACCCCCACCTAGACTCAGCTGAATAAATTAGTTCTCTGTGCTAAGAGATAGCCAACCATATTTAGCATCACTAACGAACAAGGTTGTTAAACCCCTATCGGACCCCCCCCCCCCCAGGTTAGGTCGGACTTAAAAAGGCCTCCAGAAAGCCCCCTAGTCTGACCCCTAACGAGCGAGAAGAAGAGAGAGGAAAGGAAGGAGGGGGAAAGAAGGAAGGAATATAGTAGGTGAATTATGAAGGTTAGGTAGGTTTTATTTTGTGGAAAATCATATTTTATTAAATACACGTAAAATAAATTTCATTTTAGTCGTTAATTTTTAATTAGTACATTATTTGTATATATATTTAGAAAACGTAAAAAAGGGCTTAAACCTGTTGAATCCTGATCAGACCAATAAACCTCTAACTCCTTGCTTGACTGGCTCAATGACTTAACTCGGTTTTACAACCTTGCTAATGAACCATAGATAATCTTACTCTAAGAAAGTCGAAAGCTACTTTATTTGGTGTGACAACCAAAAACTAGCATGTGAATATGAGAGGTCTGATAATTAGAGCGTGTGAAAAAACATAATCTCATTACAATTCTAACACTAACAATACCCTAATAACTAAAAAGATTGAAAGAAAGTTATTGCCTAAAGCCCTAAAGACTTTGTCTCTTTAAAACCATATCAAGATCATTGTTATTCTTGTATTGTTTGAGCAATAATCCATTAAATACAGATAACAATTATACCTTAAATAACTGATAAACTTTGTTATCCTCCTCCTATCAAAGTACTCAGAAGCTTCTTATTTCCCTCCAGCTCAATCCAAGGAATTAATCCCACCTAAACCCGTTGACAAATTCCCTTCCAAAACCTTCATCTACAGAGCTTGAAAGTGAGACCATTATTACAAATTCAATCATCTCCCTCCATAATCTCTCCCTTCTTCTCTAGCAGAATCATGCAGACCATTACTGAAATAGGCTTTCGGTGCTACCAAATTGTCTTTTCCTTTTCACCTCTTCACTCCTTCACCTTTTCCTTTTTTGCCCCATAGCAGGGGCTTTGCTGCTCTGCTTCGTTTAAACTCCATCTTTCTTTTACCCTCTCTTTCTCTTAGGGTCGCTCTCTGTGTCGTGATTATATAGGACAGGGAATAGAGAGAGCAACCTGGCGGAAGACAAACGAAAGCGCAAAAAGCTAATGCTGCTGTTGCAATTTCTGACTTGTGGGCAAAAATCTCCTTAAATTCCTCTGCCCCTGTTTTTCCTCTGCCTCCATCGATATATATTAACCCACACACTTCCTTTTTCCTCTCTGCCTCATTGATGCCAGAAGAAAATGGCGGTGGATGTTTGGTCGGAGATTTCGAGCGCAGGTCTAATCAGCCCAAGGCTTTCCTTCTCTCGTGACCTCACTCAGGCAACAGAGCCGGAAGCCGACGCCGGTCACCGCCCCAGATCAGATTGCTGTCTTCTCGACTCCGACTTCGATTTCTTCATCGGCAGCAGGGGAGAATTTTCCTCTGCCGACGAGCTCTTCTCCAACGGCAGGATCTTGCCTGTAGAAATCAAGAAACAACCGCAGCCGCAACAGCAAACTCAAATTGCCACGGGTAAAGAAGCGATTCCCATTCCTCCACTGCCGTCTCCTCTGTCTCCGGCTCAGCAAACTGGTGAGAATGATTCTTCTCCGCAGCTTGAGTCAGAGAAGAAGAAGCTGCTGAAGGAGTTCCTGTCGACGAGTCTCGACGGTGACCACGAGGAACAACAGAGGCAAAACCCGGCGGCGGCGGCGGCGGCGGTGGGACCGAGATCGTTCTGGCAATTCAAGAGAAGCAACAGTCTAAACTGCGACGAAATCAGCTGCCGGAGCAGAGGAGGGCTAATCCGATCACTACATTTCCTTTCGAGAAGCAACTCAACTGGGTCGGCTCCAAATCCACCCAAAATCAAACCCAAGGAGGAAAACCCCCATCATTTGCGGAAACAGAGGTCGGTTCCCAACAGGAAATCGCCATTGATGCCCACCAGCTCTGCACCCTGTTACTATCCCTACAATACCGGGGGCCAGCAACAGCAAAAATCGAATCTTCCGGTGTTGAGGAAATGCGGGTCATACGGCAATAACTCCGCCGGGATTAGAATCACTCCGGTGCTGAACATCCCGGCACCGGCTTTCATATCCAGGGGAACGGTCAACTTTTTGGGGCTGGGTTCTCTGTTCTGTAACGGTAAGGTTGATAAAAAGAAAAGGAAGAAGAAGAGATAGATGATCAAAGTTACCATCTTTACTCATTTTTCCTTCTCTTTTTCGTCGTTATACATATAAATTTGAGTTTTTTTCTTCTTCTTCTTCGATCTGATCATATGTGTATATGAAATCCTGTCGAAAGTACAGATGTATTTGGTTGCCTGTCAATTTGGTTCCTGGTTCAGCCTTCCCTTCCATGTGACCTCTTACTACTCTCCACATTTCTAATCAAATTATTGGATCTAAGAGGATGGGTTGCGACAAGAAAGGGTCTTTTCTTTTTGGTATGGTGCAGGCGACACAGTTAGGACTTAGGAGTTGTCTTGAATTTGATGTTAGTATGTTAATGTGGTAGCTAGACAACTGCGACGACAAATGTACGAGTTGATTTGTGGGTATTGATATTGTTGAATTGCCATTCTACTTGTTATACATTATTGAGTTGGATATGACAATAACTTTACAAATAATGTCGTCACTTCATCTTCGATTCAACAACCGGAAACACGTGAGAACGATCCAACGATATCAATGCAACTGAATACGCAATACCATAAGCAACTTGTGTTTGTTTATGAAATAGTGAAGTACTATAGTGTGAGCTAGGGATAGGTATTCTGAGTCCAAGAAAGGTAATTGGTTGTGGGGTTCCTTGCCCTATCAAGATGGGCAGTTTTTGTTCAATGCCTTGCGCTATCATTCTATCAACATGGCCAGACTTGGGAGACAAAGAAGCAAAGCCAAAGCATCTTCTTCCTTGTGCCTTTGTCTTTTCTTTTCTTGTGTTTTCCTTTTAGGCTTCACAATGGCCAGTTCGATTTCCATATTAATTTGTTCTTTTTGGCCATTTTGTTGTATGGAAATGTAAATATGGTTCTTTTTCTCAGGAAATGTAAATATGGCCATTTTGTTGTATGGAAATGTAAATAATAGCTATGATGCTGCTGATACAATATGAATTTTTGAAATAATCATATGCTATTTTTCTATTATTATTAACTTGATTCCTCTTATGGTGATTTGTAAGGTATGGTTTTAGATAAGCATAATGAAATATAATAATAGTACTACTTAAAGACAAGAATTTCAATGCTTCCAAGGGCAACTTTGCTGACCAGAGAGAATAACAAAGCAGTCCAGGAAAAGGGGGAGAAAAAGATAATAATGAGTGTTTGATAGATGCTTTCACCATATAATTAACTGATTGCTAAGTGAATGATTAGGGAGATTGATTGAAAATTTGGATGCTTATATTTAAAGATATAAATGACTAATAAATAGTAGGTTGCAAAAATCCGCAAAACAAAATCAGAGTTTGTTTCGGATAGTTGACAGTGATTATTTTGTGTTGAATTTGTAGTTGAGCTATTTTACAATGCTAAAAATCATCAAGCGAGTTAGACTATAATAGAAGGTTTTTCACAAACACATATTAAATGACGCTTTAGCATAGTTAGTAAATACTCCGTTAAATACATGTATTTGTACTCGTACGTATTTTATCCGTTTAAAACTTCCGTATCCGTATTATTGTCAAGCCGTTTCATTTTTGTTCGTTCATTTGACAGCTCCCGTATTAAACACGTATAAACCCTTATAACACGTTTAATATCCGTCTTTAATGAATTAAACTATTAACTTTACTATTATTTATTTGTTCATTTATTTTTAAAATAATTAATTTTATTTATTTAAGACTATTAACGTACAATTAAACGTAACATTAGCATAGAGACGAAATAAAATATCGGCACATATTTTGTACGTAACTTTCCCGTACCGTATTTTACTAACTATGCTTTTTAGTTGAAACCAACCACTACTTTGGATGTGCCCATCCCATAGATGGGCTGAACTCTGAAGATATACACAAGCTATGAAATGAGAAAGTTCAGCAGAGACTACAATATCAAAGCCCAAGGTGGCCTATGATCCAGAGAGCGAAGAGAAAAAGGGCCCCAACAGCTAGGCCTGTGATCCAAATGGGCCAAGCCCGTTTCCGCCGGTTGGCCCAGACGAAGCCAGCACGCCGGTGTTTGTTTTGACAGGGAACCAAACTCCGAAACGATTTCAGATCCACACGTGAATCAAGTCGTTAACCAATACCATCAATCATTAATTTAACATTTTTATAATTGTATTTTACTTTCTTTTTTTTTTGCGTATAGGGAATGAAACGCGGATAGCGTATGGAACGAGTCGGGTGGGTCAACTCGACGAGATCCTCCGGTCTCCACTATCTTTGCGCCTTCCGCCGCCACTGTTCGGCCAGAAATTCAACTTCTCTTAATTTCCCGGTCTTCCATTCAGGTCAGCTCAGCCACTTTCACCCTCCCTTTCTTTCCCTCTTAACAAAACATCACACAGCAGCTTCCCTCCTCCCCGCCATGGCTACTCACGAATTCCAGAGCAGAAACTCAATCTCTCAACTACCCAGAAGCGCTATTATTTGTAGCTTTGATCTTGTTCTGTATCTAAGTATCAACCGAGCTGTGCGAGTCAGAAAGTCGTCTCATCGGAGGATGCTCGGAACTGGAAGGCGATGAGGCGGGGCCACTTGTTCATCTCCAGAAACAGTGAAATGGTCAGAAGCATCTTGCAATTTCCCCTGTAAGCTACTTGATCAAGTACCAGAATCAGTTGATGAATACCATTTCACACGAAAGCTAGCATGGATCTGAGGGTGTACGAATACCACGTATTCCAGATTCAGTCTACAACAAGAGACGGACAGAATCTGCCTGAGTTCAAATGAAATTTTCTATAAATTGAAACAGGTGACAACAGAATGCTGAAGCTCCTCCCAGTTCTCTGTACGCCAGACGCCATACCTCTGAGGCTGCAACATTAGTTGGACGAAGTTTTGCCCCCCTTCAGAGCTCATGGTTTCGGTACAAGCTGTCAACGTAATGCTACTGCAGCAGTTCAAAGCACCCACAGTAACCAATGAATGGAACCATTCTTGCTGCGAGCATCAATGCTTCAATCGAACTCAGACGGGTCAATGTGGTATTCGGCTTCGAAGACGTGACTGTTCTTGTTCAGGAATTGCACAAACACATGAACAGGTCCTCCAAACATTGATGTTTTGACCCGGACTGACAATGCAGGAACCAGAGAAGAACATAGGGTAACAGGTGAAGAAACTATAGATTTCAACTTTTCAATAGCATCCCAGGGACTACTACTACATTTGTCAGAGGATTCAAAACCTAGAAAAACTTGAGAAACCAAACAAGCAAAGAAGAAGGGGGGGTTGTCCCTTCTATCTAAGAAGCATTTGCCCACTATTCTTTACAGGACATTATTACTCTCATGATCTTTGATAAAAAAAATAAAAGAACTATAAGTTTTGAGAACAGAACAAAAATTAACACTTTCAAGGCACCTGAATGAGCCATCAGGAGTAAGTAGAAGCAACCTGCTTCTTCTATCAAGTCCCTAATTCCCACTGAGATTGTGTGCTTTGCTTTGATTTGATTTGTGCCACCCCATCTTCAACCTCTGCAAGTTTTACCCAGTTTGAAAGCAGGAAAGACCAATCACCTTCAAACCCTGAACATCTACTATCTCTGCAAACCAGAGATTGAAGCACAGTTAGTATTCACCATTTCATGAATTCAACATATCAGAGAAGTAAAGGCTGATGAATGGAACAACTGCTAATGTAAACAGTAGATTGATTTCAGAAAGTTCAATTCGGAGAGAATTTCATGATACCAGAAACCCACATTCCTATTCAATTTACCTTTCCGGTATCAGGAATCTCCGGCACCTTGTATGTGTCGACGGTGACTTCCCCCAGCCACAGCCCAGGAAAGAGAGTCTGCAACGAGAAATCGGATCAATCGTAAGTCTCAACAGGAAGACGAGATTTCGCCGGTGTAATTGGGGAGGGGGAAGAGGAAGCAAAAGGGAACGTAAGGGATCGATCAATTTGACTTACATCCATCTGCTTCTGAACAATTCTTGGTCGCTTCTTTGGCCGCCGGGCAGGTCTATGGGCGATCATCGCCATGAAATCCTCTTCGATCTCCTTCCTCGACAGACCCACCGTGAACTTAGCCCTCGGCTCCTTCTTCTCACCGCCTCTGAGCCGAGCCAATTTCCCGCTGTCACTTCTGATAGGAGAACTTCTGATAGGAGAATACCTGCTGCTGCTCTCCTTCGGCTCTTCAATCCTCAACCCCTTCGCCGGAGCGGCGCCGGCCGGGCTTGCCGATGCGCCTGTGCCGATCGGAGCGTTAGTAGTCGTCGCCGGCGCTTTACACGCCGCTCTTCTCGTCCTCAGATTCCACGGCCGCGGCTCGTGCTCCTTTTCTTCTCCACCGCCGGTAGATACGGCCATCGCCGCTTTAGTCGCCATCGCCGCCGGCGGCGAGGAAGATTTGCGCCGAGCGTCCCGATCGCCGTCAACATCCTCCTCCTCCTCCTCCTCGTCTTCTTCTTCCTCCTCCTCGTCTTCGTCGCAAACTTCCTTCCTCAAAATCTCGTCCTTCATCCTATCCGCCGCCGTCTTCAAATCGAACATGAGCTTCTCCCCCAAAGCCTCGATCCCTTCGTCGGCACCGCCGCCGCCACCGCCCGCGCCGCCAATTCTCGGCCTCGGCTTCTTGAATTGGTGATGCCTGGCGTCGTAATCCCTGGAGCTGGCGGCGAATTTCAACGGAGGAGATCGGCTGCTCCGCCGGTGGCGATCGAACGAGATTCCCCTCTCTCGCCTGGGGTTGGTGGTGCTGCCGCTATTACTCGAATCCGGGGGATTCATGCATCGGAGTTGTCTCTGATTCCCCCACTTCAAGCTCGGGAGATTGAAATTGTGGAGCGGCGGTTTTGATCTCTCCGTCCGCATCGCCATCGCCACACCACCACCGTTACCGTCACCGGCTCGGCGCCTCACTGACTCTTCTCCCCTCCCACCAACATACACCATTGAACGACCAGAACCAGAGCTCAGATCACGAGCTCCCCCACCGTCCGCTCTCTTTCTCTCCGGAAAACCAACCGCCGGCGGCCAAGAGCTGCCGTTTTCTCTCTCTATTTCGATTTTTCTAATTTTATTTATGCGTGGAGGTTTGGAAATCGCCGGGAAGAGGTTGGGAGAGGGGGATTTTTAATATATATATAAAAGGGCAAAGGGTAGTGGATCGGGGTCGGTTCGGCCATTCGAATGAAAGGAGAATTCTTGGGGGCTTTTCGTAATTTCGCAGTCGAGAAAAGTACAACGAAGGGTTCGCTTCTAACGTGCGCCAAGCGAACAGTGACCGGAGGGAATTGAGGTTGAGACTTCAGAGTTCAGAGAGGGTGGCGTGGCCCGTGGGGTTTTAACTTTTTTGACTTTTACTGTTTTACCCTCCTCTTTTATTTCCTTCCATTTCCCGGGTGAAATTACGTCGTCTCTTTGGGTTTGATGGTTGCCGTAACCACCGTCGGATAAAGCGCATTACCTTTCTCCAGCCGTAGGATTAAGGGATGATGGATTAATTCATTTTCGAGCACCCTCTAAATATTCCTTTCCTTACTGCGCCCCTCAATTAATACTCAGAACTGTTTGAGATCTTGAACTTTCACCAATTAACCATTTTCGACTACTTTTGTATAGGGCAGGGGTGGAGCTATGTATGTTTCTCGGGGGAGGAGCTTACGTATAAAGTCGTAGAAATTTTCAAAAATTACGTATAAACTAATGTAAATATAGATATAATCTGATTGAAAAATTGTTACCAAAGTAGATTTACAGCCTAGTGGAGGTGATACCTGCTTGCAACTACATGGTCCCAAGTTTGATCCTGGTGTTCTGCAGTTTTACCTTACTATTTTATTAGTGTTTTTTTCCAGTTCAATCCTTTAATTTTCCTGCTTTGTCTTATATATCCTATAATTTTAAATAACCTCATTCGAGTTCTTGAACTTCAACGATTTTTTTATATTTAATTAATTAATTTTTACAAACATTAACATAATCATAAAATCATATTCAATGCATAATAAAATTGAAAAATTTATATGATACATTTATTCCTTAGTATAATCATTTACTTTGAGCATAGCATACTAGAAATCATTAAATTAATTATATTTTGAGTGCTTTCGATTATTTAAATTAATGTTATATTGTTATATACTTATATACATTACTTTTTTTTCCTTCATTTTGGCGATAATGTACAAAGTTATTCCGGCACCCCGAACTTTAAATCCTAGCTCCGCCCCTGGTATAGGGTATATGACAATATGTAACCAACATTTTAGCCAAATTCAGTGGAGTAGTCAGATTTTTGTCGAAGTGGGTTCATTTAGAAAAAAATATATATGATAAAATAGTTTTGTTGGCGTTTTAAATAATTCATGATATTTCTAAAAAAAATTATGATATAATTTTGTATTAACAAAAAATTGATAAATTAAATATATGCCGAAACTATCAAGAATATCACTCTATATGTATCAACTATCAACCAATTATTAATTATTTAGTTAGACATTTGCTTTTGAATGATGTTCTTCCTCAAGATCGTTTAGTATCAATAACTCGAGTTATTATGAGAGATTAATTAATGGACTATACTATTTAGTATTAACTACCACTTCCCCACTAACGAAAATCAACTTATACGTGCTTAAATTTTCCACAATCTGAATATCATGTGTTTAACAAACGGGATCGCCAAGTTCGAACACATAATATCTTGGTCAACTATACTCAATTAGAAGTGCGTTAAATTGTCATTTGTACATAAAATTCGTTATAAAAACATTGAATATGTCAATACACAACTTATGAATTATACATAAAATATTTGAAAGGTCAAACATTCTCATTAAGATACTTAATAATTTTCATACCTGATTAACTATTATACCTAATTTACCATTTTTCCTCCCGAGGCAGGGTGGGTCCCAGGTTCCACTCTCTAACCTTCTTCCTCCGCCCCTGGCCAAATCTCACAAGTCACATCGACAAAGTAGGAGATAGATTTATGATTCACAAGCAACATCCAACTTCAACTAGTAAGATGCACTTAATGGTGAAAATGGAAGAGTTTTCGTAAAAACGCTGAAGTTAAACATATTCATTGTAGATCAATGCAATGACGGGTGACCTCCCAGGAAGTCATCATGATGCGCTCCAAAGGAAAACCCGTGTATGATAGGCCTAAAGCAAACAATATTTTGATAAAAAAAATGGTCATCAACGCATGATTAGGATATCTAAAGGAAAATCATTATAATTCTAGGCCAACCCTTTATAATAAAAAAGTGATCAAAATGAAATATTTGTATTGGTTGTAACCCTGCAACACATGTTATCATAATGCTAACAAATTGGGTGTTACCACCATAACCTCTGCCTAACGGGTACATTCGTTACTCCGAGAGAGATGCGGGGCAACTTTGTACATACGAGGAAATTAGGGGGTGGGGGGGGGGGGGGGGGGTGGGGGAGGAGGGGGAGTCATGTTGAGTATTTCAATTTAGGAGAACCTTTTAGTCCCTTTTAATTTGATTGGCGAGATTCATATTATAGAATTATGTTATTAAAAATTTCCAAACACGTACATATAACTAATGAAAGAATGACAAAAACTTATCGGTTCAAAGGTTCTCTCTTCACTCTCTTATTTGAAGTTATATTTTCAAGTTTCACAAGCTCGTCCCATGAGTTTCCGAGACATGTTAATTCTCAACATTCGATTAAGATGTAGAGAGGATTTTGGTAGCTAAATTTAGAAGTTGGTGCATGCTTTGATCAAGATTGTATTGTGAAGAGAACACTAACAACGATATTGGTGTTGCTCAACACTTCAATCTTGGATCATAAACTCATAACGAACTTTCAAGGAATGTAAAGGATTAATGTACACAAGTACAAAAACAGTTTGAGCTACTTGTAAAACCCTAGATTGTGGTGTGATAAATAGTATAATACACACATGTCAATCACTCCCATGGGCCATGGCTCATCACTATACAACAGCGTGTCCCATTTATGAAAACTGAAATGAAGTCTCGAGTAATATCATTGGCAGTCCGCGAAACTCGAAGAAACAAGAAGAAAAAAAGGGTACGACAGTTTTGGGGTCTAGTTGGGCCTGAGAAAAGTCCCAACACAGAAAGAAAGAAATAGGCCTGTTCATTCAGGCTGCTAAAAGAATGGGCCACTGGGACCAGTAGGGATTGGAAGGCCTCGTCTGTGGAGATTTGGGAAGAAAACAAAAGCCCGCATCGGGACGGTAGGAAAAGAAACGAGCCGGAGACCGGAGTACGGCAACCGCGTGGACTCGGTGGGTCAGTCTCAGTCAACTTAAAGCCTTAATCATCTCACACCTACGGTACCGGAAATATAAGTGGTAGGATATTTTATGTTAAAATCGTGGTTTAATTTCTGTTCAACTGTTGCATGCGGCTAAATACAACCACTACAGTTTCGCTTTCGGCAAAAGTTTTTCTTGATTGAACCGCCGCTACGATAAGTGTTTTTCACTCCTTTCCTAGCCAGGTCCAACTTCCAAACACACAGGGGCGGAGATACATTGTAGCTAGGGTGGGCCCCGACCCCTAGGTTCTTAAGGATATTTAGTACAAATTTTATAAGTAGAATCTTATTATGTAAATTCTTTCATGAAATAATTATGTGGTCTAATGGTAGCCAAACTTAACTTGTGTCTTAAAGTACACATGAGTTCAATTCACATTGACATTAGTTACATAATTTTTTTAAATTATTTTTGGCCCCCCGATCTCGAAATCCTGACTCCGCCCTGCAAACACATACTTATTATCATCAATCAAAACCTCGGGAAACCTGTTTTAGCCATTAGCTAGGTGCTAGTCAAACAAAAGGGAACGTGGAGAAAAATCTCATGAACCGATCAATAAACTCAATACTTGCATCCTACTGCTAATCGACAAATTCTACGAGCTGGACTAACCAGTAATCACCGGTCTATACAACGTGTAGCTATACAATCGATAACAAATCAAATATGAAATTACACTAGTTCGTTTTGCTAAATGTAGATAAACTCTAGTATATGAAACATGAAGTGATCGAGTACTTATTTATGTCTTGCTCATGGCACAAAGAATCATTGTGAGGGTAAAAAAAAAAAGCCATATTTGTTAAAATATTGACGATGATGTCCGATTTGATAGCTGTTATAAAGTTCAATGACCATTGTGTAACTCACCCTAAAGTTCAAGAAATAGAGGCCCTTTTCTTCATTCCGCTGGCTTCAACGGCTAGTTCTTGTTTTCGTATTATTCCCACCTTTTCACATCGCAGAAAAGGATCCAAAAATGGCCGGTCGACAAAAACCTCCGTCAGCTTTACAGCTTGGCCCCCCACTCCCTTCCCCCGCTCCTCCTTCATCAATCGCAGGAATATAAAACCCCCAACCATGGACGACAGAAACAGAGAGAGGCGCCAGAGCAAGGCTACTGGAGAAACAGAGGAGCCAGCTTATATTCAATGGCCAGAGAGAGGCTACGCATCCTTCTCCGAGAACTGTCGCATCGCGTTCGAACATCGATCCTCATGGGGAAGATCCGCCGGATGAGCAAGACCGCCAGAGGTAAGATGAAGCTGCGGATGCTGCTGCTGATGCTGAAGCAGAGCAATAACAACAATTGGGATTCCAATTATTACATTAATAATCGCCGGCGGCGTGGACATGGGTTTGCGGCGGAACTACAGTACGAGGAGTTCTCTGCTTCTTCTACTCCCCTCATCGTTTATCGAGCGGGCCACGGCGGTCGGTTTCGGAGCAATTATCTCCACTCTTTGCTCTTGCTCTGCCGTCCCGCGTGTTTGGGAGGGTTGGACAACAAGGGAAGAAGAGGCGCCAACGTCAGGCTGTCGATTGGAAGTAGTAATTCGAAGTTGCCGGACGACGACGCCGTGTGGTGGGCGGAGCAGGAGTGTGATGCTTTTCATTCTGGGGTGATGGTGGAATGGAAGGGAGGGGATGAAGTGGTGGCGGCGGCGGCCATGGAGGAGGAGGAGGAGGAAGAGGTCGATTCGGTGGACGAGAAGGCTGAGAGGTTTATCGAGCGATTTTATCAGGAGATGAGATTGCAGAGACGCCAATCCCTTTAGTTCTTTTATTTAAAGCTCCATTGCCGAAGTGAAATCTGTTCGGTTTGTTCATTGGGTTTGAAGTTCTCATTTCTTCTTGTCGGTCTTACTTCAGTTTTCATTTTTGTGTGTTGTATTCTTTAATTCTTTTCCATCTCCGCAAGAGTTTTTGAATGTTGTGGAGATCCGATCCAGCTTTGCCAATTCCTGGTATTTGGTGGGAATGAATGTTTCGAGTTTGTTGGAAATTTGGTTGAACCGGATTAATCAAGTCAAACCGGTTTTGAGTTGGACCGACCAATCGGTTTGGAATTAGACCGACCGAACCGATATTCTAATTCCGTGAAGGGACACATTCCTTTGGCCTAGTGGCGGTTGCATTATTTTACGGATAATGATAACCTTAAGGATAAAGGCAACCCTTCATATGGATAAGGACAACCTTTCATATGGATAAAGACAACCTTTCGTATGGATAAAGACAACCTTTCATGAAACAATGCATGGATTCGGCCCCTATAAATAGGTGTGTAGGGTGCATGATGTCACATACCATCAAACATATTCTTCTTCTTTCTTCCAAAAATTTCTAAGTATGCTTTAGCGTTCTTGAGACTGGAACTTAAAGTGGTGATAGTTTTATCCTCGGGAGAAATTTCCTGTAACCCTAGGCTTGTTGAGGGTGGAAATATTCTTTTCGGAAAGTGAACGTTGTTCACGACTCTATCACTATCCTGGTCACCCGGTCTCGGGCTATCGTACGTATACCCTCGTCCCTAAAAGTCCCAACAATCGAAAAGAATATTTTTCCGGTACGATGGCTCGAACCGCTCTTTACAAGAAACTGGTTACGGTGTATGGAATTATGAGAATTTTCGATGATGGGTATTTCATTGATGATAGTAGAAGATGGGTTTTCTTCATACTAGTCTCATGGTGTATTCCATATTCGGAAGGTAACTTGGAAGAGGGATGATTCGAAGATGAGGAAGAAGGAGAATGATTCGTAAAATGGAGAAATAGACGAATGCAAATTGTCTTTGGGTAGGTCACATACTCAATGGTTAATTAGTCTAATTCTCTATTCGACATTTACGAAGTTCTAGATAAACTTGGATTTGTCTAGTGGTTTGGTGGTGTGATTTTGTCTAGTGGTTTATGTTATTTTAAACCAAGGAGACAAAATGTGTACACAATTTATGATGATTCTGGTAATGAAGTCATCCTACATTTGTATGTATAAGACATGCTTATCTTTGGAGCCAATAAAAAATAAGTGAACTTTGATAAAAATTTGTTATTTCAATTCTCCATGTAGGACATGGGGGAGGAAAATGTAATTCTGTGTATTGAATCAAGCGGAACGACAAGAAAGAGTCATTCTCTCAATTTTTCTGCATGAGAAGGTACTTGCATAAATTCCATGTCAAATTGGGGGCTCAATGTATCCATGACTTACATGATGCTAGATATCGCATATGCGATAGAACAATTAAGTTGGTACGTGATGAATCCTAGTTCTCATAATTTGAAATGAAATGAGGCGTGTACTAGGATATGTCAAAGGCAGACTGTATTGACTTATAGTGGCTTTCCATCAATTTTGGAAAGGATTTGTTGATGTTAGTTGGATTTCTCATGTTAAAGGCGATACTTCAACATTGAGATGAGTCCTCTTGCTTGGGAGAGGTGCCATAATTTGGGCCTCTAGAAAGCAAACTAGCATCACTAAGTTTCACTATGGAATCAAAGTTTGTGTGGCCTTGATTTCTCTTAGAGAAGAGACATAATTGTTGAGAGGTTTGTTTTATGACATATATTTATGGCCTAAATCAATCTCACCTATTACTATCTTTTGTGATAGTAATGCTAATTTGGCTAAGGCATATAGTCAAGTGAAAATGATAAGTACGGTCATGTGGGAGTATGGCACGGTAAAAGCTGTGAACTGATCATTCATAGTGTTGTGTCTAGACAGTATGACCAAACTCGAATTAATTTGGTTGATCATTTGACGAAGTGGTTAACTAGTGACTTGGTGATTAAGTCTGTGAAAGGGATGGATTCAAGTCCATATAATTTCTGGTAATGGGACACCCAATTCCCCTCTAATACAACGTAAGAGGCTGAATTCAATGTGGAAAGCTTATTATCAGAAATTGAAGCACACAATTTGTCATCCCGAGGTATGTGCTTGTTATCTGCATGAGAGAAGAGGATGAAGTTCAAAACTTCTTAATTGGATCTTTGACAAAGTGTATTATGCGGGCACACAAATAAAAGATTCGACCTACGTAAGCATGAAGTGTAGCCGCTTCAAGAAACCTGGACTTTGGTTTCGTGTGCGCTTATGAGAAGGATTGGACACATGGCGGATAATAGTGTCAAGGCACTTAGAAGTTTTGAAACTTAAGTGTATATTATCTTCAAATATTCATCTGAGTCAATGGGTTCAATCGTTACCGACACCCTTTGTATTCGAGTATTCGTCAAGTGTAATATACTAAGGTGAAAATTCAATCGTCACGACATTTTCATTTATGCTTAAGTTTTGTTGGAAGAATGTTGTGATTTTAGTGAATTCTAATAATACACTAAAATGGGGGAGGAATGTTGGAAATTTGGTTGAACCGGACTAACCAAGTCAAACCGGTTTTGGGTTGGACCGACCAACCGGTTTGGAATTAGACCGACCGAACCGATATTCTAATTCCGTGAAGGGACACATCCCTTTGGCCTAGTGGCGGTTGCATTATTTTACGGATAAGGATAACCTTAAGGATAAAGGCAACCTTTCATATGGATAAGGACAACCTTTCATATGGATAAAGGCAACCTTTCGTATGGATAAAGACAACTTTTCATGAAACAATGCATGGATTCGGCACCTATAAATATGTGTGTAGGGTGCATGATGCCACATACCATCAGAGCCGTCCCATGATATTTGGAGGCCCTGCTCGAAAATTTAACATGTGGCCCCTAATTTTTTTCTCAATAAATTTATTAAAAATAAAATTTATTAAATAATTATAAAGTACATTAGTTCAGAAAATGATTTCAAAATGAATAAACAATCTCACTTCCTGTTTGACCAAGAAACCAAGACCAAATTCTCACTCCTAGCAGGGAGGGAGAAAAGTAAATCTGGAGGGAACAGAAAATGGATATAGAGCAAAAATTGAATGGGGAAATGAAAATAATATAAATTGATCGAGAGGTGGGTGCGGGTCTATCTAATGGATCGTGTAGGCCCTATTCCAAAATTGAGACATGATCCAAATTGACTTTTAACTATAATAAAACTAAAATGATTAGAATACCATTATTTAAAATGTAATATCTTTCTTTAGTGTTTAAATTAAAATTATCTATTATCTCTGATTTTCGTATTCTCCATGAGATCTTTTTCAATTGTTATTATAGCTAAAATTATCTATTAAATTCGTCATCATATTCATAATCTATCAATCATACACTAAAAAAACAACCTGCAATATTCAATCGGTAACTAACGAATCTAAGTGGAGGCCCCTAATAATTGGAGGCCCTGTGCCGGAGGGCGGGCCGACACACCCTCTTGGCCGGCCCTGCATACCATCAAACATATTCTTCTTCTTTCTTCCAAAAATTTCTAAGTATGCTTTAGCGTTCTTGAGCCTGGAACCTAAAGTGGTGATAGTTTTATCCTCGGGAGAAATTTCCTGTAACCCTAGACTTGTTGAGGGTGGAAATATTCTTTTCGGAAAGTGAACGTTGTTCACGACTCTATCACTATCCTGGTCACCCGGTCTCGAGCTATCGTACGTATACCCTCGTCCCTAAAAGTCCCAACACGACCTTCGTCCTTACGACTATGAACATTAGGGATGGCAGACCCGGGCCCAAATCCGGGTATCCGCCCGAAGCCCGCCCGATAGTGGCCCAGCTGGTTCTGGATCTATGGCCCGTCAACGGGTGGAGGGTGACCCAAAACCCGTCAACCATGGTTTTCGGGTGGTGATGGTTAGCTCAGTATCCGCCCCGCGACCCGCCCGACGGTTTAACCGTGTACAAAACGACGGCGTTCCAAGGGAGATATATAAACTCTCAGTTCCCTTGGAGAAACCCTAGCAGCCGCCTCATTTTCATTCTTCACCAAATTTTACAGAAACCCTAGTTCCCTTTTTCTCTCTGCCTCCTCTCTGGCGATTAGCGATCAGATCGCTAGATAATCGCGATCTGGCCGATTTTTCGTCATTTTCCCTCATCAAATCCTCCATTCGACCAATTGCATGGCTCAAAGAGCCACCATCCGACGAAGATTTCGTCGGTCGCAGTCCAAAAACGATTCGTTGCCTCGTTGGAAGTTCCAATCGCTGATTCTTCGAGAAAAGATAAGTTATTTCTGCCTTTTCTGGGTTTCTTATCTTTTCTTTCAAGCATCTTCCCTGATTCCTCGTTCCCCTAAGACACTGACTCTTCTTGTACTTGTATATATAGGGGGGATTCAAAGCGCAGAGCTCGTTTCTCACCACGCCATCTTCTGAGTTCTGAAATCCAGAACAAGAACACCCCAGTCTATTCAATAGAGAGCAGAGACCGAGGGATTTAGCCGACCGCCCGAGCCTCCAGACATAGTCCAGGGTAAGTTTCTTGATCTCGTCTATACTTTTTATGATTTATGGGTTAGTGGTCTCATAATACAGACATGCATGCATTAAATTCCAGTTCTTCTACCTTGCTTTGTGTTTTTTGTTCACTGACTCTTCTTGTTCGCTCTTGTTTGGGCTAGGTTGGTCACTTGGTCTCGTTTGGAACTTTGGATCTGGTTTACTGGTTTAGAGAACTGAAGCAGAACAGAGTCAGTGAGCAGTGAGGAGCAGTCTACTGTCATTGGGTTCTCGACAGTCCACATAAAACTCCAATCCGAGAAGGTAATCCCAGTCCTCTCCTAACTCCTAAATCCTAATCCTCAACTCACTGTGTTTGACTGTTTGTTCATAATGCTGCGTCTTGTTGTGACAATTAGTGGATTCATAATGCTAATAAGTAAAATTAATTGAACTGTAATCGTGATTTTGAGAATAAAGATGTTTGTTTGCAAGTTTAGTTAGTTACATTGTGAATGTAACTAAGTTAATAACTATTAACTAAGGCTTAATGTTCAGATGGAATGTAACTAAGTTAATAACTATTAAGTATTAACTAAGGCTTAATATATATTATGTTCAGATGGAAGGTGCTCCTACTAATATAAATGTTGACATTGCTCCCAATGTCAATGCCCCTGAAAATGGTGTCCAAGTCCAACCTCAACCTGAACAACCTGTCCAACCTGAACCTGAACAACCTGGTAATGTTGAGGAGCTTGAAGCTCAACGTAAGTTAACTTCTGATGTGTGGCCTCACTTTAACCGAGTTAGGGTTAATGGGGTTATGAAGGCTAGGTGTAAGTACTGTCGTAAATCTCTTGGTGGGGAAACAAGTAATGGAACTTCACACCTAAGAAGCCATATCAAAACATGTATCCAAAAGAGGATACATGATGGTTCTCAAAAAATACTTGGTCCTAACTATAAACCCTCTGAAAATCCACAACTCTCTGCTTCTCAATACAATTATGAGGTTTCTAGGAAGGAACTTTGTTCAATGATTCTGGTCCATGAGTACCCCCTTAGCCTTGTTGATCATGTGGGTTTCAAACGTTTTTGCTGTTCTCTTCAACCTCAGTTCGCTGTTCCTAGTAGAAACACTGTCAAAAAGGACATTTTGAGTTTGTATGGTGTTGAAAGGGGTAAATATCAGACCATTATTGATGGTAACCTGGGACGGGTTTCAATTACAACTGATTTGTGGACTGCCAGAAATCAGAAAAGGGGTTATATGGCAATAACTGGTCACTTCATTGATAACTCTTGGAAGCTCCATAACATAATGATGAGATTTATGTATGTTCCAGCCCCTCATACTAGTGAAAGGCTTGCTGATAGGTTGTTTGATTGTCTTTTGGATTGGAACATTGATGGTAAGTTGTCCTCAATCACATTGGACAACTGTACCACCAATGATTCCATGATTTTCCACATGAGAACTAAGCTTCTAAGCAGTGACTTGTTGCTTGATGGTAAATTGGTTCATATGAGGTGTTCTGCTCATATTCTGAATTTGATTGTAAGGGATGGTTTGGATGCAATCAAGGATGCTATAAATTTGATTAGGGAGAGTGTAGTTTACTGGAATTCTACACCTAAGAGGGTTCAAACCTTCTTCGAAGTTGCTAAGCAACTTAAGCTATCTTTTGAGAAAAAGTTAGTCATTGATTGTCCAACTAGGTGGAATTCCACCTATCATATGCTCTCTGTTGCTATTCCCTACAAGGATGTTTTCTTTCGTTTGAGTTTGAGAGACAGTCATTACACATCAGTTCCTTCTAGTGAACAATGGGAATTTGCTTCTACTGTGATTGGGAAGCTGGAAATCTTTTCTGAGATTACTGAGTTGTTCTCTGGTTCCAAATATCCCACTGCCAATCTGTTCTTCCCTAAGATATGTGATCTCAGACTTAAACTGAATGAGTGGGGTCTTGATCCCAATCCTGTGATTTTTGGAATGGCTAGTCAAATGTCACTGAAGTTTGATAAGTACTGGGATGATATCCATCTTGTGCTTGCTGTATCGGTTGTTTTGGATCCTAGATATAAACTCCATGTGATTGAATACTATGCTGGAAAGTTTGGGAATACAGAAACTGGTTTGGTTGCTGAGAATATCAAGCAAATGATATGTGGTTTGATTCGTGATTATCAAACCAAAGCTGAGAACAAATCTGGTTCTGAATCTAGAACTTCTTCTTCTGGTTCTGGAACTGCCTCTGCCACTGAACTTGATTTTGAACTCTTTGTAAGTCAAAGGAAAAAGAGTAAGACTTCCTTGATTACAACTGAGTTGGATATGTATCTTGCTGAGGATATCATTCCTCGCACAGCAGAGTTTGATATGCTCTTGTGGTGGAAATTGAATGGTTTGAAGTATCCGACCTTGCAATCAATTGCAAGGGACTTTCTGGCAATCCCTATTACTTCTGTGCCTTCTGAGAGTGCATTTAGTTCTGGTGGGAGGTTGTTAGACCCTCACCGGAGCATGCTGCATTATTCGACTGTGGAGGCAATGATGTGTACTAGGAGTTGGATAATGGAGGACATGCAACGAGGTAAAATGCAACTAAATCTCTCAACTTTATTGGTTTACGTTTTAGAATAGTATGAACTCATTCAACTGGTTCTATGCAGATTCGGAGGCTGCTGTGGAGGGATTGGATGGACTCTTCTCAAAAATGACACTCGAAGATACAAGTGTGGAAGAGGCAGAACCTGGTGGTAAGATCAATAATTCATTTTTCCATTATGTGTTCTAATTTCTATTACTTCATTGAGGAATACTTACATTTGCATTGTTTCGCTTTTTCAGGTCCAGAACTCACCTTAATGAGATCACCATTTGCCCATGAAGACTGATTGGTAATCTGCTGTGGTACCAAGGTAAATGTTTTTTGTATTTGTTGTCGTTGATGCATTATTCATTTTAGTCTTTACTAAGTACTAACTGAAGCATTCCTCTTGTGTGTACTTTATTCAGTTTCAATTGATGATTGCTGGTCTGCTGGTTTACATCGATTGGAATGAGGGTCAGGGGTGGTCGGGTGGATGATTCTCAATGATTCAATGTTGCTGGAACCTAGATGGAATGTTGCTGCGTTGCTGTTGGTTCTTGCTTGAACTATTTCAGTCTACTGTTTTCAGTGGCGTAGCCAGGAATTATGCCAAGGTGGTGCAAAAAAAAAAAAAAACATAACTTATATTAATTTTTTACAATGAACCACGACGTGTTTTCATAGTCTGAAAAGTATCTAAAATACATTCATCATCCAAACTATCAAGGATGTCACTCTCAATGTAGCCAACCAAAAAATCATTCATGACATCATCACTCATTCTATTGCGAAGTGTGTTCTTCACATAGTTCATTGCAGAAAATGCTCTTTCAACGCTTGCTGTGGCAACAGGAAGCAACAATGCCAATTTCAGAAGTCTATAGACTAATGGAAACACCCGATGTTTCTTTGATGCAACCATTTCTCTAGAAAGTTCAGCAATTCCCTTTAATCCTGCAAACCTCTGAACTGTCTTCATATCATATATATAAGCATCAAGTTGATGAAGACCAAGATGTAAAATATCATCTTTGGAGAACTCAGTAGGATAAAAAGTAGCAAGCTTCACCAACTTGTCCTTGTCATAGTCGACAAACAAATCGTCTGGATTTAAGCATGCCACACAACATAGCAAATCTGTGTTTATCTCATCAAAGCGACTATTTAGCTCTTGTAACTGCATATCCACGGCTGTATAAAATAACTCAACCTTGTAGTGATGGAGATTGGTGATTTGCTGAGCATTTCTCCTTGGTCTCCCAAGTGGAAAGTATACATCATCCATGTTGACAATGGGAAGAGATTCCTTCGTACAGGGGAGAGGGCCGACTTCGTACAGGGGAGAGGGAAGAGGAAGCGGAAAGTGCAGTAGGAGAATTAGGGTTCGAATGGGGAAATAGACGAGGTCATTTAAATTTAAGTAAACTAACAAGTTACAGAAGGATAAAATAAGTTAAATGCTAAAATGATACGACAAGGAGCAAGTGGCGTGATGGCTAAAGGTGTTTGTGGATTAAGGGAGGTCACCTGTTCGAAACTTCATTCCAGCAGGAGTATAGCTGTATTTTTTAGCTGGGCCTTGCCAGCCCAAGTTGCAGAAGTATAAAATAAATTAAATGCTAAAATGACATGACAAGGAGCAAGTGGCGTGATGGCTGAAGCTGTTTGCGGATTAAGGGAGGTCACTAGTTCGAAACTTCAATACAGCAGGAGTATAGCTATATTTTTTAGCTGGGCTTTGCCAGCCCAAGGGGTGCAGCCGACCTACCTTGGGTGGCTGTGGCTCCGCCACTGACTGTTTTTGCCTTTTTGGACAAGAATTAGACATTTAGATTTTGGGAACGTCTTTCTTTGGTTGTTTGGTTCATTTGATTTGATAATTTCTATCACAAACATGAAACAGATGTTGTTTTTGGTTGTTGTTGCTTAGCTGTTTGGCTTGGCAAGCTTTCAGTTGTTTATTTCAGGTCTTTTTAACAGACCAGTCAGATTGAATAAAGTATCCAGTTTCCAGAATTATTTTTGTCATTTCCATCTTTATTTATTTTCATGGGTTGGTAGCGGGTATTCTAGACCCGCGGGCACCCGATTAACCATTGGGACCGGAGATGGTTATCCATCCAGGCCCGCAAGTCCATTTGGGCCGGGGACGGGGATACCCGAAGCCCATGATGGGCGGGCAACGGATCCAGAGTACCCAGCCCCGATCTGCCCCGTTGCCACCCCTAAAGAACATCTCCATTGCTTTCTCGTACTGGCGAGTGAGTGGTGAACATGGTTGCTCAACTTCCTGCTTCGTTCCAGACAGAATGGGCTGCTTATGGGCCCCAAGCCTACACGGGCTTTTCTCCTTTCTTTCCTTACTTCCAGCCCGCCAGGCTCTAAGCTCCGTCGGTCCAGCCCATTCTGTTAGTCTCCCATTTTTCCTGCTCCGGCTGTTTCTGTTCCGGCGAAAAAGGAAAACCGAACAGAATTATAAAAACCCCGATGAGAAGAATCTGCGATTCTCGCTCTCTCGGCGTCGTTTTCTTCTTCTTCTTCATCGTCTAGCCCATCTAATTCCGCAGCCGGAGGAAAAACCCGATCAGCACAGTTTCCTGACAAGCAGGGGAATATGGAGGAAACGGAGAGGAAGAAGAAGAAGAAGAATGCAGAGTTCAGGCTGTACAATGCAATGAGTAAAACAGTGGAGGTTTTCAAGCCGATTGTTCCAGGCAAAGTCGGCATGTACGTCTGTGGTGTTACTGCCTACGACCTTAGCCACATCGGCCATGCTCGTGCCGCTGTTGTCTTCGACGTTCTCTTCAGGTATGGTTGCAATCTCAACACTCTACTACAAAATCTTACTGTTCAAGTTTGCCGACGTCTTCATGTTGTTTGTTGATTGGGCTATAAAAGTAAATACTATTGCTGATTACTGTAAAAACTACCCAAATTGATTGCTGCGAAATTCTGTAGGTATCTGCTGCACTTGGATTATGAAGTTACCTACGTGAGAAACTTCACAGACATTGATGACAAGGTCTTCAGATTATACATTAAGCTATTGTTTTGTAGCCGGATTCTGCAGATAGGAAAAAGGTTGGGTGGTTATTTGCTGGTACTTTTTGGTTGATTAGTTAAGCAAGAATCTACCCTCAGTTACAGTAGTCCGGACTCCGGAGGTCAAGTAGCAATTAGGAACTGTAGATAGTAGGCGTCAAACTAAGTTGTGGGCTAGCTAGCTTATTGCTACTCGCTGCTTGTTCGTTGAAGTTACAGACTTACAGGTAGAAGTTAGTGTGAGCTGCAAACTGGCAGTCACAAGTTGCAAATATGATGTTTGAAGTCTCATGCTTTAGCTGGGACTTTGTGACTGTTGGGCACATATACTGGCAGTAGTTTTATGATTTTTGGTTGAGCAGGATCTTATTCCATAGGTGCAGATAGCTTGACTGTTACCCTTATTCCATAGTGAATTTATGTTCTATGATTAAGCATTAGTATTCGCTGGCTGCATTCTGCAGCATGGTGCTGCTGTTTTTCAGCCCTCCTGATGTGTAGTGTAGGAGCTGTCCCTCTTATTTAATGATGCAATTCCACCCTCCCTAATGTTTTGGCGCGGTTTGCTTTTGTCCTGTTTTCATTTGTTTCCTTTTTGTCTGTCTTGGTACGCAGTTATCACACTGCTGATGGTTCTCTAGCTCCCTGAATCCTTTCTGTTACCTTTAGATCCTAACTGATTAGTAAATTTTCATCACTTTGATCAAAAGGGAAACCTTTTTTAGGTTCTGAAATAAGACTCTAACTGGCATTTTGTCCTAGTTCCTTTGAGTTGTCTGATAACTAGGTTTTAGCTTTGACACTTGATCCTTTCTCGCATTCATTTCTGTTGAGGCCAGCTGATTGCTTTGAGCGTTAAGTAATGCGCCCATATATTCATGTCAGAATTGAAGTGCTACTCGCTCAATTTTTAGTTGGATAATGGTGCAGCTGCAATTGCTAATGAAGATTTTTTTGGCTCAGATAATTAAGCGTGCAAATGATCTTGGTGAAGACCCTTTGTCGTTAAGCAATCGCTTCTGTGAAGAATATGTTGCTGACATGAAAAACCTGGGATGCCTCCCTCCAACTCATCAGCCACGGGTAACTGATCACATGGAAAATATCAAGAACATGATCACTCAGGTATCTTTACTTAAAACTGCTCACTGTTATCTTCCACTTCCTCGTTTATGTTTGGTTACACTTTCCCAATCTCGATCTTGACACGTTTTTCTTCAGATACTGGAAAATGGCTGTGCATATGCTGTTGACGGAGATGTGAACTTTGCAGTTGATAAGTCCCCAAACTACGGCCAGTTATCTGGGAGGAAGTTGGAGGACAACAGAGCTGGTGAACGTGTTGCAGTCGACTTAAGGAAGCAAAATCCTGCAGACTTTGCTCTTTGGAAAGCTGCAAAGGAGTGTGAGCCGAGCTGGGACAGCCCATGGGGACCTGGGAGACCAGGATGGCATATTGAATGCAGTGCCATGAGTGCACATTATCTCTCTTTCAAGTTCGATATCCATGGTGGTGGAAGTGATTTGATATTCCCACATCACGAGAATGAACTGGCTCAAAGCAGTGCTGCATCCAGCGACAGCAAAGTCAATTTCTGGGTTCACAATGGCCATGTCACTAATAACCAATTGAAGATGTCTAAATCCTTGGGCAACTTTTTCACCATTCGTCAGGTTACTTTTTATCCCTCTTGTATCAACTCCTGTTCTTTCTCTCCTTCAATGATAAGATAAAAGACATCAAATTTCTTTGCAGGTTATTGAGAAGTACCATCCACTGCCTGTGAGAATGTTCCTGCTAAGTAATCATTACCGTACGCCCCTAAACTATACCGTTTCCCAGATCGAGCAAGCTTCTGAGACTGCTTGGTTCATTTATCAGGTATTTTTTTATCTTTTGGGGGGATCTTCAGTTCTGCCTGTTAGTGCTTCTAGATGACCTTTTATGGTTCAATTTGTGGTCATTGATGATAACAGATATTGCAAGACTGTGAGGTTGGTTTGTCACCATTTCAAGAAAGGTTAGCTAAGAGTGGCAAGAAGCCTGTTCAGATTGCTGGTGAGGCTCAAACATGCATCACTAAGCTGCAAGAAGAGTTCAATGATAAATTATCCGACGATCTGAACACGTCACAGTTAGTTACTGGGAGGAAGTTCAATGAAGCCTTGAAGTACATAGCTCTTAATCTGAAACCCCTAAAGGTAACGTTCTTTGTTCCAGCCATCTCTCTTTTTTGTTCTCTGTTTTCTTCATCATTCCATTAACTCACCTGTTCCTCCATTCGTAATTTGGCAGAAGCAAAAGCAGATGTCACCGTTAGTTCACTCCATTGCTGCAGTAGCTAGAGAAGTTGAGTCGGTACTGAGAATTCTTGGCTTGCTGCCAACTTACAGTTATGATGAGGTTGGTTTGCCATAAGACTCATTTCCTAGTCGTTTGATTGAAATTTAGAAACTTCAGATCTTCTAACCAGCCGAGGTTAACCAACTTACATGCATGGTGTACAGGTTTTGCAGCAGCTTAGAGAGAGGGCATTGGTAAGGGCAGGACTAAAGGCAGAAGATGTGGTACGGTTGATTGAGGAAAGAACCACTGCGAGGAAAAATGAGAAGTTTGGAATAAGTGATAAAATCAGAGCCGATTTGGCAGCAAAGGGAATCGCATTGATGGATGAGGGGAAGGAAACCGTTTGGAAGCCATGTGTTCCCGTAGTGCAAGGCAAATGGGTTAGGTTCGTGGGTTGGGTTCGCGCGTTGGTTGATTCATGGATTGCGTTTAAATGGATTTATCGGTTTATTGGTTGGTTTAGACGGGTTACTGGGTTGGTGGATCATTCGACATCCGTGAAGAAGCAGCCATAAGAGTTGCAGCCGCAGGTAGCTTTGGAAGAACAGGTCAGTACACAACGAACTGATTTTTCTTTCGAGATTGTGAGAAGAACAGGTCAGTATAGTTATTTTTGTTTATCTTTTAACTTATGAAAATTGTTAGTTTGAAATGGTAACTACCATAGTGAAGGAAATTGTTTTTCGTCTAGTTGTTCCAGTACACAACGAACTGATTTTTCTTTCGAGATTTCTACCACGGTGTTTGAAGCCGCATCGTACCGGCAGTACTATCAGAACTTTAGCGACATGAGACCGTTGAATCATGGTTAAACCATAGTTTCAGTATAAAAATCCTAATTGTGAATTTTCCGATACAAATATACGGTATTACAATGAAACTGAAACTGGTGCAGTTTAAAGGTAAGTAGCTGGCAAGTTTCATACCTTCCTCCCCAGGGCTGAGAACACAGGTCAAGGTCCTGGACTCCTTTTTAGTTTCCTTGTAAATCAATTAACAAGAAAGAAAGCAGATCCAAAGTGTTAGGCCATCGAAGGGATTTGTTGAAAGAAGAGTGAAAGTCTTGTAAATTAAAGCAGCCAATCTGATCTATCTGCACTCATATATAAGGCCGTTGTTGGAAAGCAAAGACGTCTAAGCAACCAATAGTCTTCTTAGAGGTCGTTTGCTTTTGGTATTTTGGTGTTGGATTTTGGCCCAAAATCCAACATATGTTGGACTTTATAATGAATCCATGTTTGTTAGCATATAATGGATTTTGTTTCAATCTGTGGGGTCCACTAATATTGGATTATTTGGAGCTAAAATCCGTGGGCCCCATGGATTATAAAATCTTACCTCTATAGCTAGGATTTTGAAAGATAGATATAATCCATGATGTTTAATGACCGTGTTACCCCCACTCATTTTGTGCAATCCAATTTTGCCCTCGGTTATTATTATCTCTACTGAGGACTTTTGTCTACACTCTCATCTCACCAACTTTGTCTCTTCGTTGCCAAGGGATTGCAACACAGCAAAAAGCTCCGGCAACCTTTTCCATCTCTGCCTATCGTCGTTTTGTCTTCCTTTTATATGAAGCTCAACAATTAATTATTTCATTCTTACATCCTCTTTTTTTATAATCCAATCCAAACCCTTGATAATCCTTTCGATATTATTGGTTTGGGTTGAGAGTTTCAATTTACTTTAATGGCTTCTTGCGTGTATACAATATGACCAAATAGTATGGATGTTGCTGCCATTTTTACATATGCTAATTCTTCATGTATATACAAAAACATTCAAAATACAAGTAAAGTAAAAAGTGGTTCATTAAGGATAAGAAAGTAATTTCCCCCATCAAGCCATAATTCCAACCTACTAAAAGCCATTACCAAATCCTACAAACAAACATGGAAGTTTCAAAATCCAACATAATCAAAATCCAACATAATCTCTCATATTCAAAATCCAAGGTTTTATCATAATCCCTCATTTTCTAAAATCCTAGAAGCAAACGACCCCTTAGAAATGGATTATTTTTCCATGTGTTAGTAGTAAAGTGTATGATTTGTTTTGGGTTAAATCCGCTTTAAGAGTTTTTGTCCTCGATTTTACATTTGATGGTATGGTTGTGTCATGGTTGAGATGAACAAACGAATTTATACTGAGTTGTTATCTTTTTCCATGATCTATGAGTCTGCTGGAACTAAAAGATCAAGTCATACCTAGAAGAAGGAGAATCGTTTCCGTTCACCAAAATTGTAATTTTTTCCCCTCCAGTTTAGAACGTATCAATTGTCTGACTTCCCATTCTTTTCTAAACCAACCACAACGGACATGATGATATAGACTTCTTTTCCAATCTCGTTTTTTTCGTATTCAACACTTAACATGAGATAAAATTATAGGACCTATGATATGATTGGGTAAAAACTAGTGTGTCTAATCTCATTTTTTTACTCATAATTGTAATTGTGCCAGGATGTAGAATACTCGATCTTAAACAATAAAAAGAAATATCGCGGCCCACCTGTATAAACAATTCTAAACCTCGGTGGAGTCATATTAGGTTTGGCCATGTAGTTTGGAAACTCTCCTCCTTATGACCTTATGATACCTTTTTAAAGGAGTTAACTACGAACATTCATGCACCAAATATACCTACTATAATCTATACATACATATCAAAGATGGGTGCTAATTGCTATAATAATCTAAGATGGATGCTTTACTAAACCCAAATTAACAAAGCTTTAGTAATATATCATTTCTTATAATGCACAAATAGTCATTATATTTCTCAACCGAATTCCACTCATGTGCAGTGTACATTGAACTCTTCAATATATGTGTGCCTATCATAAACTAGATTAGGTATTATCATGTTTGACCATTTTGCAGGTTGAACTACACCGATTCATAGTTTTATTTATAGGTGATAGAAGAGAATGTAGCAAAGGATGAATGAATCATTGATCCATCAACAATAATTAGAATTTGTCTGCATGTCTGACATTAGAACTACATTGCTTAATATTTGTTTTTCCGTCAATTTCTTATATTCTGAACGAATTATCTTGGGTTAAACTTTCTTCTTCTTCGTTTAGGATAAATATGTATGAAATCCGTCTTTAATTAATCGGTGATATTATTATATCTTAACTACCACATAATATATATACAGATTACAAGTTATCGAATTTTTTTTTGACACATTCAGTTTAGATAAATAAACAAAAATTGGTGAAATAAACTCGTTCATAAATGAAGATAGATCTTAGTATTGCTTCTGAATGAATTAATTCAGATCAAACACAAATAAAGCTCCATTTTCTATTCTTTCTTTTAGGGTAAATACCACATTTGGTCACTAAGATTACTAAATCGTGTCATGTTTAGTCACTAGAAAAATTTAGTATCAATTTTGGTCACTCGAATTATTGAAACATGTCACATTTAGTCACTCTCCCGTTAGCCTCCGTCCAACTCCAGTCACTCGAATTACTAAAACACGTCACATTTAGTCACTCGAATTACTAAAACATGTCACATTTAGTCACTCTCCCATTATTTTCCATCCAACTCCATTAATGAAGTCGGACGGAAACTAACGGGAAAGTGACTAAACATGACATGTTCCAGTAATTCGAGTGACCAAAATTGATATTAATTTTTTCTAGTGACTAAACATGACACGATTTGGTAACTGAAATGTGGCATTTACCCCTTTCTTTTATGTTGGGTAGGAAGCTCCAATTTCTCTTGTTAGTCTAATCAAGGAAAGAATTTTTTTGCCAAGCATGTGAGGAGTTGGACCCACATGAATTAATGAAGAACTCTAATAAGTAAATCTTACTAATGATTAAAATTTGGTTAATCTTGCTAGCAATCTATACCTTTCGACACAAAGATGACAAACATGGCCACCAAACGAATCTACCTACCACATATACCTATATCTTATATGCATCATGGGATGGTAATTAACCATAAATAGGAATTAGTTAACTACAATATGATACCCATAATTTCAATAAACTCACCCTCCTTTTTTTTTTCTTACCTACCGAAGACTTAAAATGGCTATCGTTTGCTTTAATCATGTCCCTTTGTTCTTCTGTTATTTTCTAGCAAATTAATACAAAATTAAGTAAGAAATTATAGAAAGATCTATAAATATAGAAAAAAGAATCACGGATTCCATCAAAATAAATAAATATTAATTGGAGAAATGTACAAGACCATCGGAGTCTATAAATGATGAACTTCCAAAGTCAAATATCCCTAGAGCAAATACAAAAAATTATATATAACCACGAGCAAAAAAAAAGATCACGGACCAGCTGGAGCCAGACTGAGATGCAAGTCCAAGCCCAACGAGTCATCGAAACTGGGCCCACCTTCTCCTCTCGAGAATCTGCTAAGCGAAGTCGGCCCATCCGGACATTGGTAGGACCCACCCGACAATCCCAGCTCCCCTCCGGCGCCAACACCGTACAAAAACCCCCCTCCGCCCCTCCCACCACCGCCGCCGCCGCCGCTAAACACGGCGCCATGGGAGACCCCAAACGGGGGCGCGGTACGGGGCAAGTAAACCCAAGACGGAGGCCCAATTATGGATCCAGCGCCGCCGGATGGAGGAGAAGGGAGGAGATGCGGCGGAGGAGCGAAGGCAGAGATCATGGGATTCCTAATCATACCGCCGGAGAAAGACACGGCGGCGGCCGCGGCCGCCGCTGCGTTGCGGTTGGCTTGCAACTGGGCCCGCTTCAGCTGCTGCCGCTCCTTCTTGTGCGCGTTCTGGTGTCCCCCTAGAGCCTGGGAATTGGCGAACTCCCTGCAGCAGTACTGGCACTCGTACTTCCTGCCGTTCCCGCCGCCGTCCGCCGCCGTCGGCGGCGGATCTGGTGGGCCCACGGGGAAACAGCTGGATTCTAGTGATTCAGCCGCGGCGTTGATTTGGTGGCCGTGGCGATGGTCTTCATCGTAATAGCTGTTGTGATTAAGGTTGTAGTTGTAATTATCATCGTCTGAGTAATTGGATGAGGAGACGTTGAAGCCGAAGAGCTTTAGCCGTGGGGAGGCGGAGGATGATGACGACGTGTCGGCTTTTTGGTAGTTTTGAAGCTCCACTTCTTCCATGAATTAATTCCAACCCACAACTTGTAAACAGAGTAATTAATGATGAACTTAACAGTATTTGTGGAAGGGAGTTTAGTTAGTTAGAGAGAGAGAGAGAGAGAGAGAGAGAGAGAGAGAGAGATGGGAAGGAGTAAGTAGAAGAAGAGGTGGGTTGGAGGAGTTAGGGTTGTGTATATATAGCAAATGGATGAACAAGGAAAGAAGCAGGAAAGCAGGGGAGGAAGTGGTAATATAGTTTAAAAAACCTTATCGTATCGGCTAGTTCGATAGAAAATACCAGACCTCAAACAATAGGCTGCTTTAGCGATACCAAATGGTTGAATTACGGTTTCAGTACAAAACATCTCATCACAAACTTTTCAGGTATAGCTTCCAGTACGGTTTTACACTCATTTATAGTACCCCGTAAAAGAAAAGAGGGGAAGAGAATATATTGGAGAAAGAAACTAAATGAAAACGTGATATGTTTTTATCTTGCGAAAATACTATTTGAAATATTTCTATGGTATTATAAAAAAAAAGTTGTCGGTGGTGGATCGGTTAGACCAAGTTTGTTGGCAAAATAGTTTTTCCAAACTATCTTTTAAGTCAAATCATATACTATACGAAATTCTCGTCTGCTTAGCTTAAGTGATAATTCTATATCTCCTCTCAAAATGTAACGTTAGTCAACCATATGCATTTAGTTCTGACTAAATGAATGGATGGTTTGCTAATAATCCATTGCCCATGTTATAACATCTCAATAAATGTTAGTAATAGATCCCTAAACTAAGTATTAAAGTATGTAATTGTGGAGTGGAAGAGGTATGCATGCTGTTGTGGACCACTTGGAGTGATGATGCAAAGTGGAGGTGGGTTTCAAAGTGTGGCATATAGCCAATTAGAAGCCAACATATCTTTGGTTTGAATGGCACAAATTACATTTGAAGATCACCATTAAACTAGATTAACGATCATGATCATCCATCAGTTTAGAGTATATTCTTTATTAGGGCTTGTTTTGCCAAAGACCCACTACTTAATTGTACATAATGGGGATTGTCAAAAACAAATTGTACATAATAATGGGTTACAAGAGAGACCACCACACATTTGAATTTGACACGTATGGTTAACGTTGTTCATCCATGATCCAGATCTATTAAACCTAATCATGTTTTGTTTTGGCATAAAATAATGTTTACTCTAAATTGATGTTATATATTAATTAAGATGTTTTATTAGTTGGATTCTACCATTAAGGAGCAAAAGCTTGGGAAAGGGAAGTAGCTCTTTTGTTTGAATATGCCATTCCAAGGGGCTAAGCTGACTGCGACCGCAATACCACCAAAACTATTCCCACAACTATGTACCACTATCTCTCTCTATACAGCTTCTTTGAGCATTAATCCAAAAAATCAAAACTTGGATCCCTTGTGAGGCGTTAATTTAGAGCGGTTAATGAGCCGAGCTATTCGTGAGCGGTTCGATCTCGAACTTTATAAATGCTCGTTCGAATAAAAAAAAGCTCGGCTCATTAATAAACGAGACGAGCTTGAGCTCTACCTTGTTCGGCTCGTGAAGCTCGTGAACTAGCTCGATTAGGTGGCTTGTTAATACAACTCATGAACTATCTCGTTTTGAGCTTATGAAATGTCTCAACATTGTGACTAGAGAGCCAACTCGACTACAGCTTATGAGAAAATCAATCTATATTTTATGAGTTGGTTTATTAATGATGCATATAATCATTAAATTGCATATATCACCTCATATGGTGTTTAATACATTGAGTATATGTAAGCAAATACGTCTCATATATGACATAATATTAGGTAATCACATGTATCACATATGACATATAAATATTAGGGTATTTATATTATAAATTATCTTAGAGTTGAGTTCGAGCCAACTTTCAATCTTAATGATATGTCAAGATTTAATAAATGAGCTGGCTCGTGTTCGACTTGACTCGGCTCGTTAATAAACAAGCCGAACATGAACAAGGCAAAGCTCGGCTCGGCTCATTAACAGCCCTAGGCGTTATGCACCATGCGTAGAGGAAAAGGAAAAAAGAAAAGCCAAATAAAAGTGTAGAGATACATGAGTTTGAAGTAGCCTTTGCCCTACTATTCACAAATCGGTTTAACCCCATTCATACCTAATCAAAACCTGGTTGGTTTAAACAGCTAGACACCAATTCACGTTCTATTATAACTTGTTGATGAAGAAATTTGAGAGCAAGAGATCGACATGAAAGAACAAATTAAGGAAAGGAGGGTTGAAAGCGTAGCATGGAACATATATAATTGTGAAAACACAATTAACTTTGCGTATCTGTTGGAAGATATCGAAGATATGTCTGATTGTGACACGTGGGCCATTAACTTATATACTTAGTACTGATTGCTCCATGTAAGTGTACATGGTCAATTATTTCACATTTCCTCTCTCTCTCTCTCTCTCTCTCTCTAGCAACTTCTAGGTTATGTGGGCCTGCAACAAGATCGACTTCATCATTCAAATGCATCTTTCACTTCACTTTGCAGGGTGGGAAACCATCAAATCTAATCAAATCTAGGTTTTACTTGTGAATTATGATAAAAAATAGTTATTTGACTTATTTCGAACCATTCGAGTTATTGACTGGACAAAGTTGCGAATAGATCTTATATCAAATTGTAATATGTGCGCCCCTGAAATACTAGTCAATTCATAGGCTTGATAATTTTTTCACATAATCACAATACTATATGGTTAAATCGTGTTAGTGTTAGGGGTTGTGCAGAGTTGAGCACGAGACCTCGCAATCAAAAAATTTGGTGCCATTTTAAGAGCCAGTTGCTTCAGATAACTCGTGGGTTGTTTGAGTGAGTCACGAAAAATAAATCTTATATCGATGTCTAATATTATGGAATAGAGACCAGTTCATATACCGATATATAATTTGATTTCTGTTATGATTTTTCCATCAACGTTCTTTTTATTTGAACTTTTATTTGTAACCATTGGAGAAAACAATTAAGTTATAAACCGATCATGTTCAAACTCCACCAAACCAAATCAAAACGAATTCATTTTCTATCGGATAAGATTCAATGTCGATTATGCTTCTATTACGTATAAAAACGCCGATCGAATTGATCAGATCTGAGCTTGAGAGAGAAAGGGAGGAGAATTCATTCTCAGGTGTTAGTTAGCATGTATGAGCAATATATCTATTGGGCCACCTCCAAGTTACGTGGTGATGATAGCTTTTGTTTTAGAGATGTTTGCGTGATTGACGTTGAAATCTATAACACCAGACACACAAACAATTTTCTTTTCAAATTATGTCGTTCCCACAGCCAATACTGTTTCAGTGTTTTGTGTTTAGCTTGTGTTGGTATTAGTTTTATATTCCACTTAATGATGTTTGCCCCCTCGTTTTTTAATCTTAATCTCTCTCTACTTTTCTGGGCGGATCTTGCCGAATCTTACTAACTACAACTCTAATATTAGAGAGACAGAGAGGGTGAAAGCGATTGAAGGTGGCGGAAGAGTTCTTGTTAAGAAGCTAATTAGCTTTACTTTAATCCACTTGCTAATAAACAATGATATTGGGTCTCATTAATTAAGTTGATAATGATCAATAAGTTCCTTGTTAAGTGTTCTATTGTTCAAAAAGCTCAACCTCTCGCGAAAGTCTTCATCAAACCCCCCAAGAAAGACCCACCACTGTCTCCTCTCTTTCCTATTCGAAAAAAACCAGTGCCCTTTTCAACTAATTCAAGAGACTATTTTTCCCATTAGGTTTAGTTAGTTGCTTTGCAAATTTATGGGTCGTTTGGATGAGTTAGTTGTGTAACGAGTTAATATAAAAGTGGAATTTCTCACAAAATGAGAATGTGGTATTTGTGAGTTATTTCACAATAACTACCCCTATGAGGTATTGACAATAACTCATTAATGAGTTATTTCAAATTAACTCAACTACAAATAACTCATCGCCAACTTTTGTAGACAAACGAGTTATTTGCACCCAATTAACTCATATTTTGAGTTAATTGGGTGCAAATAACTCATGCGAATAACTCATCCAAACGACCCCTAGATTTTTTTTCATTCGATAATTTCACACATGCGCTATGATTGTAGACTCAATTATGTTGGCGAGTGAGTTAATGTACATAATTCAGCTGATACTCGCTATACAATATACACAGTAGTTTTTTTTTTGCATAGTAATAACAGTAAAATTTGAATTATGGATCGATCGTTCGGTTCAAAATCATATACTTATACTGAAAAAATACAAACAATCTTTGTTATTTCAAGCCCCTTGGATTTGGTAATTAATTGATCATGATGAGTAAAATCTTCAGCCTTATATCCCCACTCACTCATAATCAAGGTTGGTTAACTTTTTTTTTTTTTTTGTTAAAGAAAATGAACTTGATCTTGTTACAGTCATGATGATATTGGAAGCACATGAGGCATATTTAGTCATATCCTTGGAAGTTAGTGAATGAATGAATATACCATAGGAATCATGCATGAGGCAATGCTACTTCTTAATTAATTGAAATTATTCTCAGCATGGGTTTGCTTAATTATTATAATTTGATAGCTTAGCTAACTAGGGTGGCTTTGGGAAATAATAGTACACTTAGATTTAGGACTTAGATTAGGATCTCCACTATCTCTATACATAAAAAGGAATTAAAAATATGTGTCCAAAACTTGAAAACCTAACTACCACATCTTTTGCTTTATATGCTGGATCCAATCATCTTGGTGGCTTTGGGGTCTTTCTTCTTTCTCACACCTGGGAGGGTTGACAAATGTTGAAAGAAAGAAGAGGAAAAAGTTGCTCAAATATATGTTGGGCCATTAATATATTACCCACTACAAGGCTCAAGGAGCTTATAGCTTGTTTGGTCTCACCCAGAAAAGAAAAAATATATGTGTGGTGAAGTGACCCTCTCAACTAAAACAATGAATGGTCATGCCTAGAAAAGGTTCTGTGAGTTACCCAATTTTTCCTTTTCTTGTGCAAGTTCAATTTCTTCCCAAGTCAATGAGTTAGGCTAAGTTGCTAGGAGGGTGTCTCCTGGCCACGGGATGAATTCGTAGTATTTTATTCGATTTATAAGAATCTGGACTATTAAACAGATTAAATGTGA